CAACATTCCCAACAGTAATTTTCTGGTCTGGGAAGTAAGTCCCTTCCTGCAGCTGTTCAAACAGACCAGAGTTCCTGAAGATGCGAGCGTCATGCACCTTTCCCGTCCATCCCACGTTGATGTCGGTGAAACGTCCCTTGTGATCCACCAGTGCTTTCAGCACCATGGAAAAGTACCCCTTGCGGTTTATGTTCTGGCCGCCCACGTGTTCCAGGGCCAAGATAGAGATACACGTTCCATCTGTCGCCCCACCGCAGTTAGGGAACCCCAGAGCATTAAAGCCATCCACAATGGTCTGCACATTTCCCAAAGTCACTACCCTTGATAGCAGCTGGTCAATGATTGTGTTGGCTACTTGCAGCACAGCAGCTCCCACAGTAGATTTGCCCACTCCAAACTGATTCCTGACTGACCGGTAGCTGTCGAGCGTTGCAAGCTTCCACAGGGCTATGGCCACTCGCTTCTCAACAGTGAGGGCTGCTCTCATTTTGGTGTCTTTGCGCTTCAGGGCAGGGGACAGAAAGTCACAAAGTTCCATGAAAGTGGCCCTACGCATACGAAAGTTTTGCAGCCACTGGGAATCATCCCATACCTGCAACACTATGCAGTCCCACCAGTCTGTGCTTGTTTCCCGGGCCCAGAATCAGCATTCCATGGCATGAACCTGGCCCAACACCACCATGATCTCCCAATTGCCACATGCCGTGTTTCTAGGAAGTCTGTGTCCATGTCCTCATCAGTATAGTAATCACGCTGCTGTCACTTCCTTGCCCGGTTTTGCAAGTACTGTACATACTACTGGATAATGTGCGAGGTATTTACAATGGTCAAAACTGCAGTGGAGTTCTGAGCGGGCTCCATGACTATGGTGCCTGCACAGGTCATCCTGGAAAAAGGGCATGAAACATAGGAGAGCAGAGTGGCAGTGGAAGAGGTGCTGTTCGGTTCACGATAGCCAAAAAAAGGCGGGAAATGGCTGTCTTCTGTAGCTTTCATGGAGGCGGGAGCCCTGGACAGACAACATGGAGAAGCTCGGAAGCGCAGCAGTAGTGGGAGAGCAGAGTTGGCGGTGGAAGCTGTGCTGCTCGGTTCACGATGGCCGAGCAGAGTTGGCAGCGGAAGCGTTCGATGAGGAAGAGAAAGAGTAGATACTAGAGATTACATAGGAAGACGAGAGGAAATGCGAGGTGGATTCATAGTAGCAGGAGAGCAGCGGTGCACCGTCTGCTGAAAGCAGTATGGCGTCTGCACACCAAGAGGGCGTGAAATGATTGTCTGCCCTAGCTTTCACGAAGGGAGGAGCAACTGATGACACATACCAGAAACACCCGCGAGAATGTTTTTGCCCCATCATGCACTGGGAGCTTAACCCAGAATTCCAATGGGTGGCGGGGACTGCAGGAACTGTGGGATAGCTACCCACAGTGCACCCTCCGATATTCGATGCTAGCCTCGGTACTGTGGACCCACTCAGCCAAATTCACGCGGTTTAGTGGGGACACAGAAGACTGAATGTATAAAATTGCTTCCGAAAATTCAAATAGAATAATTTTGAAATAATTTCATACTGTAGACGTACCCTAAATGTCAGATTCCTTTGGCTCAAGTGGCATGGGCAGTTTTGAATGCTGAAGGTTCAGCTCCTGCTGATGACCATGATATCCCTACCATGTTACATCTCGGTGCTGTAAGATCCTAACGGATGCTGCCATGCAATGGAGCCATGCCTCAGTGCTGGAGGGTCTTTGCTGCTATGTTTCAGCACAGCATCCATGAGAGTCAGATCCCTGTGCATAGGATCCTGGGGAATGACACTGCCCTAGCAGAATACAAGGAACTCCCATTGGCTTCAGTAGGGCTTACTTGTACACAGCTAGGGAAGAATAGGTACCTTGGACGCTGTTCTGTAGGTCTCTGTGTGCTGACGTGTAATATACCAGAAATAACGTGGTCATGTCTCTTTGCTGGAGATTCCCAGATACACTGATCTGATATTGTAGAGATAATACAATTGTGTCTCACTGTCTAATAAGTGTTGCTGCAAAGGACGAACAGCTGTTTCTTCCTCAAAGAGCTCTTAAAACAGTGCTGTATTTGCCAGGGAAGAGTAGCCAGCTAGCTCGCCTAAACCCGACAGGATACTTTGCTCTAGATGTGCTTAGCGGGTCAAATTCCACACACAGTTTCACCTGTGCAGTCCCCATTGACCACGTGGGCAGTGACACAGGTATAACAGCACATGTTGACCCTTCTACATCTGGTTTTATGTGGACTATGGTCATTCTTAATAGGGCATTGCCCTGACATGGTGTAACATCCCAGGGTCATGCCATGGATGAAGGACACAACTGTAACACTAAAGCCGCATTTTAGACACCATTAGCAATTGAATACTTATTCTGAAGATGACAGTAACACCAAGTGCTCCACTCCTTAGCTCAATCCCTTTGATTAGGGCATATGGCCTTGATTATCCCATGCCCAAGTATGAACCCTACACTTTGTCCAACCTTCATTATCTTGGATATGTTTTTCACTATGGAGACACATCTAGTTTGTCTACTCTTGTATGTTGAAGTTCAGCATGATACACCTAGCAACTGACAAGCCCCGATGCTATTTCTTTATCGGGGTTTAGATCTGGTGAGGTAAATTGTTGTGTTTCTTCAACCATCGAGAGCAATTGGATACTTCAGATTAAGAGAGAGCAAATCAAAACTAAAGTGTCCGTGAGAGCATGGTTTGTGTTGTTCCTCTGCAGCACTTTGCACTGAGATGGGCTGCTTGTATCTTCAGGTGGGGGAATCCTTAGAAACATACAGAGGTAGAGCGCGGAAAACAAAGGCATATTAGTGCAATATCCCATCTAAATGAATAGAGAGGAATGCAAAGTGTGACATTTTCCCTCTTATTCAGGTATACACACACAGACATGCACCACAACACAAAATCAGAGGCACACAGCTGTGAAATGATGGTGTGAGGGCAAGCTAGGCCTTGGGACTCTTCCTCTCTTGGCCAAACATGGAGGAGGTCCAATGATGATTGGTTTCCCTCACCCCTTCTTTTGGCTGCCATCATTATGCCCCCCCAGCTGTCCTTTGTTTTCCAACCACATACCATAAAAGGGGTGTGCCACCCCCTGGAACAGGAAGCACTGGGAGCGGGCAGTGCAGTGGCTTCCCCATCTGCCTTTAGAGGAAAGGCGTCATGTAAAGTCTGACAACTCAAGGCAGAGTGTCAGTGGTGAGGCCAAATTTGCTTCTCCCACAGGTTCACCACCCTCCAGCACCGCCGGCATCAATGGAACTGCACTGGAATCACTGAGAGAAGAATATGGCACATGCTGTTTAACCTTAGAGAGGCAGAATGGCCTATGTGTAGCACATGGGACTCAGGGGATCAGAGCTTAGTCTCTGTGGTTGATTTGCTGAGAGTCGTCTACCAAGTAACATCACTTCTCAGTGCCTCAGTTTCTCCAAGTGTAAAATGAAAATCATAACACCAAGCCTGCCTCATTGGAGTGCTGTCAGGCTTAACTGTTCCATGGTTACTTTTTAAGTGCTTTAGATCCTTGGATGGAAGGTGCTATAGACAGGAAAAGGACTGTTATTCCCTCTCACCAGTTCAGCTCCTCCTCCTCCTGCCAGTTTTCCCTATCACCATCTGTGCGTCAGTCCTTCCCCTCCCCTGAGCCGTGGTGAAAGTGCTGGGCAAAGCAGTGGTTTTGAGAAGTGGATCTATATCCTTGCTGTTAGGACCCTGTAACCCTATTCTTTGTGCCTGGCTGAGAGCACCCTGTGCCTACAGCGGAAAGCTGTGCAGTTCCAAGCGTGGCCTGTGAAAGGAGCTAGCACACAGAAATAGGCCCTGGCCCAGCGAATCCAAGTGGGACTCGAAGATCCAGAACGCTGTCTTTCTTACGTGTGCAAGCAGTTTTCTCTCTCTCTTCCCCTGGCCTCCTCATTCCAACCCTGAGCTCAGACAGTTGGCAGTATTGCCCACATGTCCCCGTGGAGCCTTCCTTCCTAACAGAGCTGGGTGATGCCTCCTAAAATAACAAGTGCATCTTCTCAGTGGGTTGTGTGTGAATATTTGAGCTGTGCTCAGTTTCCCTAGGTGGCAAGATATCACTAGGGTAGGGGAAAGACAGCAGCTGTCACAGGGCCAGAGGAATTTTAGGGGACACCTCTTCTGATCTTCCCTCTTTAGGAACATTAGCACGGGCCATTTCTCTACATCTCAGTGTCAGCATCCCCTGGAGTGGCCCCTTGCTGGCTGAGTTTGAGTCTTGCATAGCAGCAGCCTGTTGGCCCAGGATCCTGCCATACGTGGCATCTCGTGGGCACATGTAGCTGTGGGAAGTGAGTGCAGCTCAGAGGTGGTCATCCAGCATAGGGAAAGTGTCTACCCAAGAAACTGCTTGCTTGACACACTAAAGAGTCCTAAACCAGCCATGGGAGGGAGTGTGCACTGCATCAGAGACCGAAACTCAGGGGTGATCTTGTAACTCTTGCTTCCCTGGCCAGTGGGGGCTGTTGGAAAGTGACCGCACAGGGTGAAAGGGTGCATGATGAATAGAAAGGTGAGTGCAGCAGTGTGTGTGAGCAGAGAAGGTGCAGCCATCAGCCCCGTCAGACACTGCTGGGACCAGACCAATAGGCAACACTGAGTTTAGTTAGCCTGGCAGATGTACTTAGGGGCCACTGTGGGGTCAGAGGGTGGAGGAACATACACATCAGCTGCTCCCAGTGAGCTCTAGGCCTGTTCATGAATGCCGCTCTGCAGAACCCATCACAAAGCTTTGGCGGAGCTAGAACTGGAGCACCAGCGCTTCCACCCCATGCTCCCAGAGCTGGGATTGGGTTACCTGGAGGGCACCACACTCACCAGAACCCAATCCCAAGTGTAACTGATCCGACGTGATCAATACATGTATTGTGGCCCTGCCCCAGGACTCCGCCCTCTGACCCTGCTTCTTTCCCGGTTTCTCGTTCAAGGTTTATGAATCACAGGGTCCCGTCCAACCGGAGGTACCAGCCAACGGAGTATGAGCACGCAGCAAACTGTGCCACGCATGCCGTGAGTCGCCTTTGCGTTGCCTTGAGGGGTGGGGAGGCACGTCTGGCGGGAAGGCAGAGGTGTATGGGTCTCAGCTCCCGTTGTGTTCCCAGAATGGAAGGCAAAGCTGGGGCTTGCTCCACTCCCTGTTCCCTTACAAGTGGGTTCAGGAGCCATCACAGGTTGAATGTAAATTACATTTAGGGTTGCATCTTCTGACTGGCGCTCAAGGGCTGGGATGTGCTCAGCTACATCTGGAGCCTGCACACCCAGTCACTGCACATGCACATGGCCAGGAGCTTGTTTGCAGGAGCTCGCCACGTCTCCTTTGGTCTCTGGTGGCTTTTAAGTAAGAGTCAGGGCTCATTGTAAGTGACTCTTACCTGACACAGATAATCTTGGGTGGCAGTTTGGGTGAAAGTGATCATGAAATGATCAATTTCCCCATTCTAAGGAGAAGAAGGAGCGAGAGCAGCAGCCTGAGGACAATGAAAGCAGACTTTAAAAAAATCAGACTTTAAGGCTGAGGTGTTTAATGCCTATTTTACTTCAGTTTTCACCAAAAAGGTTAATGGTGACCAGATACTCAATACAATTAATATTAACCAGGGGGAAGGAACTCAGGCCAATATAGGGAAAGAACAGGTTAAAGAATATTTAGATACGTTAGATGTATTCAAGTCGGCAGGGCCAGATTAAATTCCTCCTAAAAACTAAGGAACTAGCTGATGCAATCTCAGAATCATCAGCAATTATCTTCGAGAACTGATGGAGGATGGGTGAGCTCCCAGAGGGCTAGGGAAGGGGAAACATAGTATCTGTCTTTAAAAGGGGGAACAAAGAGGAACCTGGGAATCACAGAGCAGTCAGGATACTAGAACAAATGACTAAACAATCAATTTGTAAGCCCCTAGAGGATACTACGATTATAAGGAATAGCCAGCATAAATTTGTCAAGGATAAATCATGGCAAACCAACCTATTTTCCTTCTTTGACAGGGTTACTGGCCTAGTGGCTGTGGGAAACAGTAGACATGTTATATCTTGATTTTTGGTAAGGGTTTTGACACACGACAATCTCATAAGCAAACGAGGGAAATGCAATCTAGATGAATTTAGTATAAGGTGGGTGGACAACTGGTTGAAAGACCATATTCAAAGAGTAGTTATCAATAAGGCTACAATTTAATCATGGGTATTTTTAGTAAAAATCATGGACAGGTCATGGACAAGAAACAAAAAACCACGGCCAATGACCTGTCCATGATTTATACCATAAATACCCCTGATTGAATCTTAGGGTGGAGATGCTGTGGGGGGGGGGATCCTGCGGCATCAGTGGCAGGGGGGAAGCCCCGGGGGGCCAGCAGCTGCTTCGGCAGCCACCATAGGTTGAACCCTGGGGAACCAGTGGCTGCTCCAGCCACCACCAGAGCGGAGCCCTAAGGCCAGCCACTGCTCTGGCCGCCCCCAAGACCACCGAGCAGGTGGTCCCTGGAGCGAGCCGCATTAGCCATTGCTCCGGCAGTCCCTGGAACCAGCTACCGGGGCCAGCAGAGCAGCAGCCGGTGCAGTTGCCTGCAGGGCTGCTCAAGTGGCTGGCTGCGGAGCTGTCCCCAGGGCTGCCTGAGCAGCTATCTCCGGGGCCAGCTGCTTGGGCAGCCCAGGGTTTAGCCACACTGGCTGCTGCAGAAGTCATGGAGGTCACAGCAAGTCACGGAATCTGTGACCTCTGTGACAAACACGGAGCCCTAGTTATCAATGGTTTGCTGTTGAACTTAAAGGGTGTATATAGGGGGGCCCTCAGGGGTCAGTCTAGGTCTGGTTCTCTTCAATATCTTCATTAATGACTTGGATAATGGAACAGAGAGCGTGCTTATAAAATTTGCAAGTGGCACCAAGCTGGGAGGGATAGCAAGCACTTTGGAAGACAAGATTAGAATTCAAAAGGACCTTGACAAATTGGAAAATTGGTCTGAATTCAATAAGATGAAATTCAATTAAGATTAGTGCAAAGTACCACACTTAGGAAGGAAAACTCACATTCACAGCCACAAAATGGGCAATAACTGGTTGCCAGATGGTAGATGGCTACATGGTAGTATGCTGCGGGGTTACAGTGGGTCACAAATTGAATATGAGTCAACATGGTGAGGCAGTTGCAAAAAAGGCTAATATCATTCTGGGGCATATGAACAGAAGCGTTGTACGTAAGACACAGGAGGAAACTGTCCTGCTCTGCTTGGCCTTGGTGAGGCCTCAGCTGGAGTACTGTGACCAGTTCTAGGCACCACACTTTAGGAAAGATGTGGACAAATTGGAGAGAGTCCAGAGGAGAGCAACAAAACCGATAAAAGGTTTAAAACCCTGACCTATTAGGAAAAGTAAAAAAAACAAAACGGGGCATTTAGTCTTGAGAAAAGAAGATTGAGGGGGGACCTGATAACGGTCAAATATGTTAAGGGCTGTTAGAAAGAGGACTGTGATCAGTTGTTTTCCTTGTCTACTGAAGAAGCAATGGGCTTAATCTGCAGCAAGAGAGATTTAGGTTAGATATTTGGAAAAACTTTCTAATCCTAAGGGTAGTTAAACTCTGGAATAGGCTTCCAAGGGAGGTTGTGGAATCCCCATTGTTGGAAGTTTTTAAGAGCAGGTTGGACATACACCTGTCAGGTATGGTCTAGATTTACTTGGTCCTTCCTCAGCGCAGGGATCTGGACTTGATGACTTCTTGAGGTCCCTTCCAGCCCTATGCTTCTAGGATTCTAAGATCTTGCAAGCAGTTTGAATGAGAGGACAGCAAGTAGGAGCTGTGGCTGCAGTGCTGACATCATGGGGATCTGAGACACTTTTATAACAGGGCTTTATACATCCCTGCATCCAGTGATCAAAGTAGATTGGAACAGGACGGGGAGCTCTAATCCCGCCAGCCAAGGAGGAGGGGAAGCTGTGGGGCAAACCCACTCTCCTGACCACCCCCTTGCTCTGACCCCTGCCTGCATCAAGGTGGGTTTTTATTTTTCTCCCCCACCCATTTTGCTTCATGTGGTGAAGTTATTTGGTTAGACAACCAAAGTGTTTTGCTAAGAACTGCTCACGCTGGACACCCCTACAGTCTCCGTGAAAATGGAACATTCCTTTTTCACAGCAGGAGATGGCCGTTGTGGCAAGATAAGAGGGCCTGGCATTGTTGGGGAATGGAAGGATCTGATTGGCTGAGAGTGAGGTAAGTAAGGCAATAACATGTGGCAGGGCGTGGCATGTAGCATGAGGCTATCTCACCTCCGGTGCATGGGGAGGCATGAGGCCTCGCGTCCCCAGCACCGGAGGGATGGGGTGTGACCTGATAACCCACAGCCGGGAGGCTGAGTGTCTTTATTTTTCTACGCCTGGAAGTCTGTTTTTAAGCCACGCCTGCTTTATGGGCCCAATCCCACAGCCCCGAGTCAAGACAATCTCCTACTGGCTGCGGGAGAATTCTGGAGGTGCTAGGATCAGGCAGGGCTGGACTCAATTGCAGCATCTGATATGAGGAAGGTTTTTCGTCCTCGTGAAGAAGCCCTTCCCTTTTGGGAATGCTTCCCCACGACTTTGAAAACCCATTGCCTTTCGGAGATTAGAGCCTGACCCAAAGTCAGTTGAAGCCAATGGGAAGATTGGATTGGATCAGGGCCTTTGGATCAGGGCCTTTAATAAGGTGTAGAAAAGGGCCTACAGATGGCAGGTGGCATCAGAATAAGAAACCTAAAGACACCTGTTCCAGGTACCTTCCCCTATGCACCTATTCTCTGGGGCTCTCTCAGGAGTTAAATGAAGGAGACAGAGCCTTGCTCTGGGCAGTTTCCATTCGAATGGCTGGCTTACAGACGGTGCATTCGGTAGCAACTATCAGATGCTAAATATCAGGAAGAACTCCTTGAGATTGAGCTCTGTGGAGTCATCTCTCCAAGAGAAGTGGTGGGAGCTCCACCGCATGGGATTGTTAAAACTATACTGGGCGCAGTACCAGGCAATGTAAGGAACTGCCCTCCTTTGATGGGGAGATAGGGTGGGTGACCCGAGAAGCTTTCTCCAAATTTGAGTTCTGTGATTGAGTAGCAGAGTCAGGAGCTGAATCCATCCCTGCAACTTCTGGTCTTTAGCTGCTAGACCATTCTCTGTCCCCTGGAAGCAGTATGTGAACAGCTTAGGGAAGCTTTGGGCCCTAGGCAGGTATATCAATTGGTCTTGTTTTTCTGAAGCGTTGTGAGAAACCCTTTCTTAGTCAGCAGTTAGGCTCATGGATACCATCCAAGTGACTAGGCTATGGAGGACCAAACGGTGTGGTTATCATGTGACAACTCCATAGCTAGGAGCCAATCAGATTGCTTCATTTTTCCAACACCCCTTTTGAAAGCCCTAGACGACACCTTCGAAGCTCATGCATTTTGTATGGCCGTGGGTGACCTGGTGGTTGTGCTGTTCCTCACAGGGGCACTCGCTGAGGTATAGATTGTTCAGCAGTTTTGACTAAGCAAATTCTGTTATTTATCCCCCTTCCCAGATCCCTGGGGTTAATTGGACAGGAAGCCTCTTTTCTTAGGTTTACAACAGGATCCTCTACTTCCTGCTTGGTGGGAATGAGGAAAATGAAAAATAAAAGGAATGAAGGGAAATCTGTGATCTCGAAGCACGTCAGAGTAGAAAGAAGGGGCAGCGGGACCGGGCTGCCTCTGACATGTAATGCCCTAAGCCCCTTCTGCCCCCCCACTGGAAGGGGCTGTCTCTGATCTCTACCCCTCTGTGCCTCCTCTGTCCCGTATGGGGAGGGGACTTCTTGCACAACTCTAACCTCAACAGTTTCCTGAGCCCCGCCCTTGGAGGGGGCTCTGCTCACAGTCTTCTCTGGCAGGGGTGTTGGGGACTGATCGTGGCAAGTGGGGTCTGAAATCATGTAAATAATACAGAGCAGTGCCTGTCCCAGCCTCTGTCCCTCAGCTGGGCTGGACAGATTCATCCATAGATGAGGAACCATCTGAAAGGAAATCAGCGATAATAGTTATTCCATTGAATAGTTATTCTATAAAGGCCTTCTCTAAATGAATGAGCAAGAGACAGCCAATGGAGTTCTTCTCCCTTCCAGTTCTGGATCATCCCCAGCATCCTTGGCAGCTCCATCCTCTACATCCTCTCAGATGACCATTGGGAGACCATCTCAGCATGGATCTATGGGTTTGGCTTGTCTGGCCTCTTCACTGTCTCCACCATCTTTCACACCATCTCCTGGAAGAAGAGACACCTCAGGTAGCAAAGCCATTTGTCACTACAGGCCCTGTTCTCTGGGGGCAAATAGAGAAGGGTTGTGAAGGCAGAGATAGAAACAGCCAGGTGACTAGAACCACCATGGGCAGGACAAAGAGCTAAAAATGACACACACACCCTCAGTATTTTTCTCATCACTTTGTGTGGGCTTCTACTTCCCCATTAATCGCACCAGCACCTGTGCGCTCTCTCCTTCCCACACTCTCTTACTGAAGACACAGTCATTAGGGCTAGTTGAAAATGAGGTGTTAGTACCGTTATACAAGGCACTGGTGAGACCTCACCTGGAATACTGTGTGCAGTTCTGGTCTCCCATGTTTAAGAAGGATGAATTCAAACTGGAACAGATATAGAGAGGGGCTACTAGGATGATCTGAGGAATGAAAAACCTGTCTTATGAAAGGAGACTCAAGGAGCTTGGCTTGTTTAGCCTAACCAAAAGAAGGTTGAGGGGAGATATGATTGCTCTCTATAAATATATCAGAGGGATAAATACTGGAGAGGGAGAGGAATTATTTAAGCTCAGTACCAATGTGGACACAAGAACAAATGGATATAAACTGACCATCGGGAAGTTTAGACTTGAGATTAGATGAAGGTTTCTAACCATCAGAGGAGTGAAGTTCTGGAATAGCCTTCCAAGGGAAGCAGTGGGAGCAAAAGACCTATCTGGCTTCAAGATTAAACTTGATAAGTTTATGGAGGAGATGGTATGATGGGATAATATGATTTTGGCAATTAATTGATCTTTAACTATTCATGGTAAATAAGCCCAATGGCCTGTGGTGGGATGTTAGATGGGGTGGGATCTGAGTTACTACAGAGAATTCTTTCCTGGGTATCTGGCTGGTGAATCTTACCCACATGCTCAGGGTTCAGCTGATTGCCATATTTGGGGTCGGGAAGGAATTTTCCTCCAGGGCAGATTAGAAGAGGCCCTGGGGTTTTTTTGCCTTCCTCTGTAGCATGGGGCACAGGTCACTTGCTGGCGGATTCTCTGCACCTTGAAGTCTTTAAACCATGATTTGAAGACTTCAATAGCTCAGACACAGGTGAGAGGTTTATTGCAGGAGCTGGTGGGTGAGATTCTGTGGCCTGCATTGTGCAGGAGGTCAGACTAGATGATCATAATGGTCCCTTCTGACCTTAATATTTATGAATCTATGATCCTGTCAAACTGTTTATTGGCTCTGCTACCCCCTAGCTAGTATGGGTGCAAGCCACTGCCTTCTGCTGGACAATTGGGAAATTGGGTTTTCAACTAAATGAAATAGTTCACAAAAAGTGTCTTCTTTCTGTGGAAAATTTTGTTTTTTCATTGAAAAATCTGATGCCCCAAAACCGAAATATTTTGGCCAAAAATCAAAACATTTGAATTCAGAAATGCTGCTATGGTGCCTCATGAGAGCTGCAGATCTGTTGCCTGATGTCCCCATTCTCCTCTATGGGCTAAGCTCCCATGATGCACTGTGACTAGCAGTTCCCATGATGTACTGTCTCTCTCTCCAAGAGGAGACATCATGGTGCATCATGGGAGATGTAGTCTGACTGGGGAACCTGACCTGTAGAGAAGGATGAGAGCAAGAGGTAACCAAATTACAATCCCCATGTCGCATCTCAGCAGAATTTCTACATAAAAATATTTTGATTTTCAGACAAAATATTTCTATATTTGAATTTTTACTGAAAAAAATCACAATTTTCCACATTAAAAAAATCTTCCAAATCTTCCATATTCATTGTATGCTGGGGAAGGGATTAGACACTGAGATGATTCACGAACCTCTGGAGACCTAAGTTCTAGCCCAGTTTAGGACATCAATTATAATAAATCCTTAGCTATTTGAGAGTTCTGTTTGCCACTGTTCTACACCATGTGGCCTCTCAGAAATGGCCCGATGTCAGATCCTCATCTTCCACAGGCCCCTACTTCTCAAGAACTGTTAGTGGTTAGCCACCTGAGGCCTCTGACACACAGCTGAGCAGTTCTGATTCTTTCCAGTAGAGGGCAGTGGCTCTCACACAGTAGCTACTTGATAGCAGAGTCAATTCAACCTGATCCCCTATGACCACTTAAAATATCCAGAGAACTGGGCTTGACTGGCGATCTCTGGTGACAGGAGACTCCTGCTAGCAGCAGAACAGGGGTACTGCAGGTCAGCATCAAGGTGCAGAGGGGCAGAAGAAGCTTTGCACAGCACCATATCTAGTGCCCGTCAGTGCTATCAAGTCTTTAAGAATCATTATATTCATCTCACTGATCAATACGTTGCATCTTAGCATTTATTTAGTTTCCCAAGTAAATCCATTTGCTCCCCACTGGCCGGGTCCGCATGCTGTAACTCCCTGCGTGTGTTTGTCTGTCCCCTCTCCAGAACAGTGGAGCACTGCCTGCACATGTTTGACCGGATGGTGATCTACTTCTTCATAGCAGCATCTTATGCCCCCTGGTGAGTTCACTGTGTGATAGCTGGCTGGTCTCTATTGGGGTGGAGGAGAAGGAATCCAGAAAATAGTATCACACTTTACATCTAGATTAAACATTTAAAAAAAACATAAAAATCCATCTTGAAACAAAAGTCCCACTCCTGCATTTTAGCCCTGGCTACACTCTGTCCGAAGTCCACGGCTGTACGTGCTCAGTGCCTCTAAAAACCAGGCCACTGATTTAGGTGCCCAGGTTTGGACTGAGGGAGCTATATGGACACCCAGGTTTGAAAAGTCTAGCCCCTTTGCCTTGCCTGAGGCTGGACAGCAAGCATTTGGCCCAGCACTCGGGAATTCCTGGTGTCTCGGCATTGCCAACCCAAGAATTGTGAGTCAGGACCTGGAGAATCCTGAGATTTTAAAAAATAATAAATGTGAGGCCTTTTTATGGGTCTTTTGAGCCTTTAGGGTTCGTGGTTTTCAAGGTTTGTCCACAACCAGAGCGCCAGAAAGTTACTTATTTTTTAAATGAAAGCCGAGATTTTCACATAATCACGTGGCGTCAGGAGCTGGGGCATTAAGAAGAACACGAAATGTTATAGATTCAGGAATAAAACCACAAGAGTTGGCAACAATGCTGGTCCCATGCGCTGTCTATTAGACCACGCTTTCCTAGGTCACAGCACTCTCCACCCACGGCTCACACAGTACCCATCAACCTTAGACTCACTCAGAACTCTGCCGCAGAAAGTCTGGGTACATTTGCTTCACACACTCACCTCTGGCACAAGAGGCAGGCCATCACAGTCTGATTTTACCCAGAATAAGGTGAGGAAAGCTGTACCTTCAGCAGCACTAGTGATTATTCCGAAACAGGATATCATATTTATCCTTAAATAGTCTTTATTTGTAAGACAGGCTGGCAGAGCTCTGGCTTTGCTGGGTCTCTGCTGCCTTCTAGAATTTTAGAAATAGAAGGACGAGAGAGAGCTTCCTCACAGCAGTGCTGGGGTACCACCAATGTGAACTTCCTGTATGTTTCAATTTCCTTTCTTTTTTGGAGGCTTTCTCTCCTCCCAGCACCCCTGCATCCATCAGTGACTGCCTCTCAGCATAGATTTCAAACCTTCTGCTTCCCCTTGTGGCTCTGGGTTGGTTTCTCATGGCCAGCTGCTGTTCTCTGCGTCCTGATGGCTCTTTCACCTTTCGGTCTCTATGGGTTTTTTTCAGGTTGAACCTACGGGAGTTGGGTCCCTGGGCCTCCCACATGCGCTGGATCATCTGGATCATGGCATCCGTCGGAACCATCTATGTTTTCTTCTTCCATGAGCGGTGAGCTTGTCTAGCCTCTGCCAGTCTGTCTGTCTGTCTGTTGTTCAAGAAGGCTGCACAGCCTCCCCTTCCTCCCCCTGCCCTGTTTTCAATGTGAGTGGGCAGCAAGGAGGGGGCAAGTATGCCCTAAAGCAGTCCCCTGTGCATTCCCTGAGCCACAGCCCCTCCCCACATTCCCCCTCGGGTGGTGAGTGTCTGCACCACCGGGCGCTCAGGCCAGTCACCAGATGCCATAGTTTGGCTTTCAATCAGCCATGGAACTTGATCAAGATGTGTGCTGCAGTTACACAATTCTTCCACTGGGTGGCAGCAGACAGCAAAAAGTGGCATGCTCCTTCCAAGCTCACAGCCGGAGGGAGTTCTTAGTAGAGCCAGGGCCCTTTTCTGTACCTGCAGAGCACCACACGGTCAGCACAAATCGCCAGGAAGGGAACTGCTCTGTTACACTTAGAATATTCCTGAGCCGTTGCATTGCTACGGGGCCTCCCTCCACCCATCCTGATGCACTCTGTAAACCAGTCGTTCTCAAACTTATTTGACCGGGCCCCCCTTGTTTGTGTCTGTAGTTATGTACGCCCTCCCCCCGGCACACACACAAATCCATAGACCGCCACCCAGCTCTGAAGGCAGAGCGGAGAGCAGTGGCTGCCTGCTGGGTGCCCAGCTCTGAAGGCTGCACCATGCCCGCAGCAGTGCAGAAGTAAGGGAGGCGATGTGAAAATGCATCCGATGAAGTGAGCTGTAGCTCACGAAAGCTTATGCTCAAATAAATTGGTTAGTCTCTAAGGTGCCACGAGTACTCCTTTTCTTTTTGCGACTACAGACTAACACGGCTGCTACTCTGAAACATGTGAAAAGTGATATTTGTCAATATCACTTATCACAGCAGACTTAGTGCCCCATTGCCACCCCAGGGCTGACAGCCGGAGCCCTGCCGCCTCCAGTGACAGTTTGGGGTGCGGGGGAGAAGGAGAGCCTGAGCCTGGGCCACCTACTGCTGAGGAATTGAGGCAGGGGAGAGGAGAGCCCAGGTGGCAGGGCTCCAGCTGTCAGCCCTGGGGTGATGGGGCTCTGGCTGTCCTCTTTATCTCTGCCTGCTGGGTATGCACGGCCCTTCTGCATGACCCCCAGCCACCCAGGGCTGACAGCCAGAGCTCTTAAAAAAACCCAACACCACACAGCTCATGCCGCCATTGACACATTCCTGAGCCTCCCTTGGGCAGCCTGCCCCATAGTTTGAGAACTGCTGCTATAAACCCACATGATCTTAGCCTGACAACCCTGTGTGAGGTAGATCTTCAACACCATGGTGCTGGAGGCTATGGAATGTCCTAAACCAGATACATCTGCATTTTGGATAGTGGTTTTGCAGAAAAGGTGACTGTGGCCCAGAAGAGTTAAGTAACCTGGTTCAGGTGATACAGGGAGTCAGTGGTAGGGACTGATTTAGCATCCGGGCTTCCTGGCTCCCAGACTTGTGTTTTAATTACAAGATCATTCTTCTTCCCTGTCACAGACAGAGCTCAGGCACTGGGCTCCTGGAGGCAGGGCTGGGCAATGCACAGCCTTCCCCTGAAATAACCGTTATCCAGCTAACCCCCCAGACCATTATCCAGTACCTGCCTGGCAAAAATGTACCCCATGGAATGTACTTTGCATATTCAACATTTTATGATACATATGGTAAGATACAAGGCACTGATTCTTCACCCAACTTTAATGGGACTTGGCAGGAGTGCAGGGGTTTGCTCACACAGGATCAGTTCAGGCTCGGGGCCCTGCTTTGTGCGTTCTTTGGGGCAGGGACTGGGCCTTCTTCTGTGTTGTTCAGCTAGCACATAGTAGGCTGCACCATAACACAAAAACGGTGTATCTGAGTCAATAGAAATACATAGAAGCTGTCAGGATACTCCCACAAGTACGTACTCTGCGCGCACAGACATCAGCCCGGACACATTGCACTTGCTCAGACACACGCACCTCTAACAATGGTCCAATGCATCCGCTTGGTTATCTGGGAGCTCTGAGGGGAAAAGCCCCTCCTTGGGGGACAAACAGTGAGCAACAGGTAATGGGGGCTCAGTCTCATTTAACCTGCCCTACCATCATGACAGGGGCCTGGGATCCTCAAGCTCTCGGATCCAATTCCAACACTGCCTAGAAGGCGGTTCCAACAAGGGGAGAGGGAGGAACAGTACAGATGAGTGGGAAAGGGGAATACAGGACTGGTGAGGGGAAAAGGTGACGTGGGAAAATGCCAGTTCACCTTCACTAGAATGCTTACAGGGAGACATGCAGGGAACCCAGGCTTGTGAGCACGTTCCTTAGGGATTACCTCTCCAGATCCTGACCAGTTGTCCCCTCACCTGGCCTCCCCTGAGATCTGTCCTGGGTCTTGCTTGTCTGTTTGGATGGCCGGCGCTGTGGGGCGGGCTCTGGGTCTGTAAAACGCAGCGGACGTGTGCGGGGCGATAGAAATGATTCATTGCACTCCGGCCTCCTCCCCGGAGCAGGGAAGCTGGGGTTTTAAAGCATTCGATTAAGTGATTCCCTCGGTGCCCTGCTGCCACTGAGTCTATCTTTCTCCGTCACAGGTACAAGCTGGTGGAGCTGGTGTGCTATGTTGTCATGGGAGTCTTCCCTGCCCTGGTGATCCTTTCGATGGTAAGTGACTTGGCCCAGGGCTCAATGCGCTGCTCCCTGTCCTCTGAAGAGCCTGGGCCACAGCTGGAAGGATTTGTCTAGTGTGACTCCCTGCCGTTAAATGGTTGCTGTTTTACTGTACGTGGCGCCCACTTCTCAAACTTGCATGGTTCCATCAGGGCATTTGGACTCTCAAAGTGGCCCTTGGAACTAGGCCCCCTAATCTGGGCTCTGAGCTTAGGCTCCTTTTGGGTGGAACGGTCCCTTATAAAGGTGAAATACTGGGCCGAATCCCTGCTGGCTGAGGTGGGAGCGACACGCCAGTGGGGCTGTTTGCCCTCGCACTCCAATTCACTCCAGTTGCTGCCGCTGTTCCGTCTCAGCTGTGCCCGAAGGGGAGGGCACTGCAGTAGGGTCAGTGTGGCATCCCCACCGCTGACCCTCATCCCTCCTTGTGTTTGCGAACAGCCAAACCGAGATGGCCTCTTGGAGCTGGTGGCTGGTGGGCTTTTTTACTGCCTGGGCACGGTGTTCTTCAAGAGCGACGGGCGCATCCCCTTTGCCCATGCCATCTGGCACCTCTTCGTGGCAACCGGAGCGGGCATCCACTACTATGCCATTTGGCGGTACCTGTACTGGCCCGAAGTGCTGAAGGCAAAGACGTCCAGATAGGAGCCCCAAGGACATGGGACACGCCAATTGGCACTTGGGGGAAGATTTCCCAAGGAGCTTGGCTCTGTTTCCTGCCGGAAAGCCATTCCCAGGGCTTGGTCCCCTGATGGGAGGGAGTCTCTGGTGTCCGTATCCAGCCAGTCTCACGCAGATGGAAGAGCCCGAAAGGTTTATTTTAAACTGATTTTAACCTTGTATAGTGTTTGGTTGTTAGGCAAACGTTTCATAACAAAATGAACAGTTAATGGTGTTGTTGGCGGAGCGGACTGGCCCGACCGGGGCAATGGTCTTTGTGCTAAGGTTTTGTTCTCATGGTCCCAAACAACCTCGAAACCTGCAAAACCCTCGTCTGGATGAGAGCTCCAAACCAGCAGGTGCCCAGACTCTGTACTTCTGGCTGCTGGACCCTCTGGCTGCTTTCAAGGGGAGAGGCTACCCTTAGATAGAAGCCGTTAGCTCCAGGAGGGACACTGGAGGCTGGTGACGCATGAAGGTGGACAGGAGGAATGGACACTTAACACCAGTGAACAGCACCAGGATTAGAGCATAACATACCAGGTTTGTTTCCCACTCTAACGAGCCTCCACTAGCAGATAGTTAAGGGGACAACTTCTTAAACAAGGCTCCTTGATTCTGCCCAGAAAGGAGAGCAGGCAGGAGATGTCAGACCTCACAAGAGTCAACCATGCCTGTCGTCTGATGGGGCTCTTTTTGAAGGTTTTTCCCCCTTAACAGGCTAGCTCCCTGATTCCTCTGCCCCCACTGTACAACTAATTTCGGGGAAAGCAGGCTCTTGTAGCAGCAGATGAGCAAGGTGAACCTGAGCTTGGTTTAACCAGGGGCAGTTAAGATCCCTGGCCCACAGCGTTCTGAAGGCAGAGAGTGGGGTTGGAAAAGAGGTTCTGGGTTTGGCCAGTCTGTAGCTGCAGGATAAAATCTTAGTGTGGGGTCTGATTGGGATCCCAAGTGTGAAGGTGGGACGCGAAGGGAGTTGGGGAGCCTGTCTCATCTTAGGATGAGTTACTACTGATAGGACCAAGTTCAACTCTGGCCCGGGGACCGACAGGCACTGGGGCTGAATTCCCTTTTTTAATACAGTTGCCAGTGTCGCAATCTGCCAGAGAAGGAGCAGAGCTGGCCATTCCTAGGTTTCTGTAGGGAGAGTTGTTTCCATTGATGTTTTAAATCTCGTCTCTGTAGAGTGGGGAGGTTTCACACCCTGTATCCCTGTGCACAGCTCTTTAGCTGTATCCAGAGGAAACCGCTCCCATTCTAGGGCTTTCATCACGCTTGTTTCCATGCAGAGATTCGGTGCGTACGTCTATGCAGCACAAAGAGACCCATGCCAACAAGTCTCAGAGCCTGGGTCGACTGACTTGGGCTCACGCTGCGGGGCTAAACATAGCAGTGTGGACATTTAAGTGCGGGCTGGAGCCTGGGCTCTGAGGCTCTCCTGCCTTGCGGGGTTTCAGAGCCCAGGCCTAGCTCAAGCATCTACACTGCTATTCTTAGCCCTGCATCCCCAGCCCCCATCGGTTGACTCTGGCTCTGAGACTTGCTGCTGTGGGTTTTTTTGCTGTGTAGATGTACCCTTAGCGGATTCCAGCAGGACCCTCCGCTCCTTCTGTTTCCTTAAGAAAGGTTCTGTATATGCCAAGGTGTCTATTCTTCTCTGCTCTCCTCCTGCTGCTGGGTGAGGATCCTTTCTATCGCCACAGACCCTCTAGTTACTAAGGGGGTGTCAACATGTGCATGGTAGGCATGCCAGGACAGTGGGCTAAGCACCAGCAGTTTCTGTTTACTTCTACTAGGGTTGCAGGTGCTCAGCGCTTTGGAAAATCTGTGTTGTCCAAGGCTTTGGTATGCAGCAAATAGGGGTCTGGTGAAGGGGTAACCTGGGGGCAGGGGTCTTGAGGAATCAGTTCAGTGGAAACCCCAAATTCCAAGGGTGTCTCTTGGCTGGGGTAGGGATTTGGCCTCCATGCCCTGGGATTGAGTTTTTCCCCTAGTTCCCAGGCCTTAGTTACAGCAGGGAGATAGGAGGGAGTTTCACTAACAGAGCCAGGGCAGGCCTGGAACCCTGCACTTTCTCCCCAGGATTTGAGGTTTGTTTTAAGTGTTTAATCAGATCACTGAAAATTCCTGGCAGCCCCTGTCCCCAAATGCTGCTGAATGCTAATGTCTTAGTTTACGTAACAAAACAAACAAGCCATCGCCCCTGCTAGCTCAGAGTGACCCCCCCCCGGCTATGGAAGCCTCAGAGTGACCCCCCCCCCACCCCGGTTATGGAGATGGCTATTCCAGCAGCACATCTGCCCTCACCAGCGCTCTGCAATCCAAAGACCAGCTGAACTGATAAGCTTCCAGTTGGAGCCATCTCTTTTATCTGCTGGGTTTTCTGCAGGTGCAATACCTCAACTGGCCACACAGGGATGAGGGGGCAGCACTGAGTTGGGGCCCCAGGGCTTGAAACGGACACTGTCCAGGTTTGCTCGCAAAGGATGTGATCCATAAAAGCACTTTGTGATTGGAGGGCCCAGGGTCAACAAAGCCTTACATGTGACTGAAACTTGAATCCATTCCAGGACTCCCAGAGTCCCTGAGCACTAGAAAACCTTGCGTCGAGGCCAGTATTAAGCGTACAACTCTGTACATTCCTTATAGATGGGCGTTCAGACATTTCATACATGATGCACTGTGCTTGCCTCCCCACCTTCAGCCCCAGCCGTGGTTCAAAAGCAAGATCCCCCTTCAAAGCATTTGCCACTTGTGTGCCTTTGCCCGGCAGAGGGAAAAGGGTGAATCTGGATCGACCCTTCCATCTGGCTGGATCACGATTCACTCGATATCAGTTTTTTGCAAACTAGAAATGTCAACCTGCTAGAATAATCTAGAAAATGTGGATCAGGATTCAGGGGTTTTGTGCGTCCTCCATGTGCTGCATGCAGTCGGTAGGCTTAACCAGGGTTAGCTCCGTTCTCTTGATGGTTGTCAGCAGCCTAGATTTGTAGTTACTCTTAGGCAAACCTTTATCGCTCCAATACCCATGTGTGATGGACTCTTCCATTTAGCATGCAGTGGGTGTGTTGAGAGGGGAGATGGATCATGATGATGCTATCATTTTGGGTAGATTTATTGAATAGGGTTATACTAAAGAAGTTCCATGTCGGGGAACTCTGTTGCATTGTATGTCTAGAGTTCCACGCATTGCAATATCTTGGTGCTGGCCCCTTATAAAACACGCTCACAGTAGTGGGAATGTATGGCAGGGAGAGGGGTGGTCGGGAGGCATTTGTCAGCCAGGAATGAGGGGCCTACTGGGGCTAAGGATCTCCCTCAGGGAGAATGTTGATACTCTGCAGATGATCAGATGCCTTTGTATCTGCGCTGGGTTCAGATGAGCTTGCCAGATTCTTTACCCAGTTCTTTGAACCACCCTGAATGTGCAGAACGTACATTCTGTTTCCTTTCTCTCTGGTCAGTGTCTGCAGATTGCTGTCCTTTGTTCCATGTCCCAGCAGGATTCTGACCCCAAGACATTAACCTGACTTCCAGCGGGTACAAAAGAATGATCATCAATGGGAGATATCAGAGCTTTTACGGTTCAAATGCCCTCAATCACTGTTATTCCCAGCAACTGTGCAGTGAGTTTTTGAGTGAACTGCCATCAACTTGGATTGGGTTTTTTAATACAGGATCATTAGGAATTGAAAGCTGTTTTATTCCTGTATTCTATCTTCCTGAACTGTTATGGGTGAGTGAGATTATGGCCTTGATCTATACATGCAATATAAGGTAACTGAACATGTAAATATCTGACTGCAATTCCACCCTCATTATGGGACAGGTGAGTGGGTGGGCCTCTGCTTTATAAAATGGACATGATCTGTTTCCTTGATCTGTTGTTGGGAAGCTCTGGAGTGGAAATAATCTCTCAATCTAGAAAGAAAGGGTCAGGGTGAAAGTCATGCTCTGATTTTTAATTATTAATATTGAAGTTGGCATTGAGCTGGTGCTGCCTACAGATCTCAGACCCTCACTCCACAGCTCCCTACCTGCTGGCCTCACAGCTGAATTTCCAGAACCCCTAGCCCAGAGTCTGGAACCTGGGGCAGAGATTTCCATCTCTGGTCATTAACTCCTTGGGCAACTCTTTGCTGGTCCCTTCGGAAGAGAGACAGTGAGCCAAATTAATCGCTAATGCATCTCCATTGACTTGAGATACATACACCAGGGATGGGCTTGGCCCAGTGGCTCTATTACAGAGTTGAACATGATAGGCCTCTGATGTGAAGTGCACAGCCTTAGCCTCTGGGTTCAACCCTGCAGAGAGAGCACTCTGGATCTCTGTGGGTAAGTCTTCAGCGCGGCTGGGAGAGGCACCCTCTGCCCAGGTAGACTGACTTGTGCTAGCTCTGTTGACACTAAACATATCCGGGTGGAAGTTGCAGCACACTCAGTGGCTTGGGCTAGCCACCTGACTCTAAGTCTGCCTGACTCCCAAGCTGCAAGCATATTTTTAGCATGCGAGCTAGAACAGAGCTAGTGTGAGTCTGTCTACTCGGGCTGGGAAGCTCGCTCCTAGCTGCAGTGTAGACATACCCTGTGGGTCTTGAGCTTGCAGATCAGTGACACTGATAACAGCTAAAACCTTCCTTCTCCAACCTAAAGGAGCAGCAGATCTCCTTCCTCAGTTCACCTGAGCTGCCAGCAGCTCAGAGTCCAACCCAGACCCCCATGAGCCGTCTCTGTCAGGCCTTTGCTGGAGACAGGCCTCCAATTGGGTCTGCTTGACTCAAGTGCCTCTGCATCCAAGCTGATCCTACTGCCACTGCCAGGGTATTTTTCTCCACAGGAGATAAATTTGACACATTCAGAACAGAGGCACTGTTGTCTTGTAGTTACCAAAGGGACTGGGAGTCAGGACTCCTGGGGTCTACACACATCTCTGTCACTGACACACAGTATGACCTTGAGCAAGTCACTTAATCTCTTTATGCCTCAGTTTGTCCATCTGTAAAACTAGGATGATATTTACCTGATATGCAGGGTTGTTGGAAAGCACTGTGAGATCCTTGGATGCAGGCAATATAGACGTGCACTATATGATTGTGTTATGGAAGAAGCATTGCAACTCAGCAAAGCTCAGAAAAATCAAATGTGACCCCTCTTCCAAAGGACGATGCAATCCTTATTGTCGCTGTGGGCCAAACTGGCTTGGAGAATTTGTATGCACACCCAGTAGAGGGTGCAAAACTGTCTTAAGCGCACAGTCACCCTATTTGCAAGTGCCAATTTGCATTTGCACAAGAAGGGGACCAACATGTGGCCTTGTGTATTAACACATCACTCTTTCCCCATAAGGGATATTGCCTGAAAGAATGCCTCCCTTTTTAGCCCTACCCCCAAATTCATAGGCAGACCCGGAAAGCTTCTGAACTGACTGATTTCCCTGCTAATCCCCCGGGTTAATTGGAACTGCAGCATCATTTGTTTGACAAGATTTGGGATGTTTTGTAGGAGTGCAGCCACTGTTCCCCATCCCACGCACTTTCAAGGACCTGATGCTGTGGGTGCTGAGTGCCCTCAACGCTCATTGACCTGAATGGGAGCTGAGGATGGGGCCCTAATGGACAAGCCGGGCTGTGTATTGTCATTCCCCAAAGAGAGGTTTAGAAAGTGCCTGGTTAAATTTGCCCCTCTTGAAATGCTGGCTAGAGTCTCACTTGTAAGTTTCTCGTTCAAGAGGTTTATGCTTTGATAAGGAAAATACGCAAGTGGCATTGCTGGATAAACATGTCCCGACCAGGAGCTACCCTGCCTGTATTCACACGTCCATTGGTTAGGGCACCAATGCTCTCTTTCCCACGTTGCTTGTGTGAGTGCATACATATTTGTGCGTGTGGCTTTCCTCGGTCTTGTACAGACTCTTAGCTAAGCTGCCTGGACTCTGCAGGTGCAGAAGCTCTATCCTATCGCATGTCTAGAGGGGAAAAGCCCTGTGTTCCTAGATGTCCAAGCAAGGCCTATGTGGCTGCCCAAGTCCCTCTCCTCTTCCGGGTAGGGGAGTCACAAAGCAATCAGGCTGGGTGGAGTTGGAGTCAGGCAGATGCAGGGGAGGCAGTGAGCGTGTGACTCCCCCAGTGCAGAGGTGGGCCCGGGGGGCTGGAACAATCTGTGTCGTGGGGGTGCTGAGAGCCATTGAACCAAACTGTAAAACCTGTATATGATGGAAACCACTTCAAGCCGGGGCGGGTGGCAGCACCACCACTAATTCCAGCACCTGTGGGTGGCTCCTGCTGCAGCCCACTGTCGGCCACCGGGGAGAGCTGAAGTTCTGCCACACTGAGGTTGGACTGGGAATGCAAGGGACAGGGGATGTTATTAGGGGAGGGAATCGGGTAACACTTACAGTATCTTAGGAGCCACAGACAGATTCCAACAACCCAAGAAACCTGAGCGAATCCAAGTGCCCTACCCACTGGGGGAAAGAGACCGCTCCAAGGAAACAATGAGCCAAAGTCGGCTCCCAGTCGCACTGGTTTAATTCCATTGACATCAACAGGGCTGCACTGGGGTTAAGAGAGCGGAATTTGACCCCTTACCGTCAAGCAGCTATTCCACTGCCAAACTCTCAAGTGTTTAGGAACTGAAGGAAACCTCAGGCAGAGAAATTGGTTCCACCGGGCATCGCCCCCAGGGAGCTGGAGAGGCAGCCGGGTGGGCTGTTGGTCACGGGACCATCTCACTGGAGAAAGGGGATGTTTCCAGTGGTTAAGAGGTGGGAGGTGTAGCTCGAGTTACTATCCCCTCTGCCTGAACTCTCCGTAGCAGCTCTCTGTGGCAATGTAAAAGTGCCCCCCCCCTTTTCCAAAACAGATCTAAATGTCAAATAGCCTCAGTAGAAGAGAGGGGCCCAGTCCAGAGCCCGAGACCCAGACTTTGGGGGGTGGGGGGCGGTTGAAATGCCCTGGGTTGAGTCCATCTCATCTCAGAAGGGTGTTCGAAATAGGAATCTGTATGGCTGTTTCCTCTCTGCGCCTTTCTGTGCCCCTTCCCCTGCTTCCATGGTTCTTACCCTGTGGCTGCTCTTAATCCTTACCAGCTGGTAAGGAAAATAAACCCATGTATGAACAGCTGGCTGTTTGGGCCATTTTCTGGTTATGATAGAAGGAGGTGTGGCCTGAACACAGAACTGGGAGGCAGGACTTCCTGGGTTCTATCCCCACCTCTGCCACTGACTTGCTGGTTGACCTGGGGCAAGTCACTTAAACATTCTGTGCCTCAATGTCCCTATCTGTCAGATGGGGATAATGAAACTGACCTACCTCACGGGGCTGATGAACTGATGTTTGTAAAACACTTTGAGATTGCCCAGTGCTGCACAAGTACTACGTTCTTGCTCCTGAGGGAGACCCACTTCACCTTGAACCAGATGGCTGCTTAACAGAGTTAGATCTGAGTCTCTGGGTCACATCAGAATGAGAGCAGCTCCAGCCTACAGCTTTATTCCTACTTCACTTTCATTAACTCATTGTCACAGGGACAGGGTTCCATAGGACAGAGGTGTATGGTAGAGAACCCCAAAGCTGATTTCCTCTGCTGGGCAAATGTCTTGTCATAACAAAGGCCACAAAGTGACCAATGAGGCACCAAAATTTGCAACTGCCATAGAAGAAGCAGTAAAATAAACAAAGGAAAAGATGACCACGGCTGGGAGCAGAAATTGAGAAATGGTTCTGCTCCTTTAGTACCTGCTGTCTTTATTTTTGCACTTCTGGTCTTAATCGTCACACTGCCTATAACAAGTGTGCTCAGAAATCCAAGGTCCAAACAGGTGCGGCAGCAATTCCTCCTGCCTAGCCCCCCACCTCCTATGCAAAACACTCCACTTTATCTCCTGGTCCTGGTGGGGATTCATCCCTATAGGAGGTGGGTGGGTAGAACTACCCACCTGGCTTTGCTTTCTTCTCACAGCTCTCCACAGATGCCCTCTTGTCCAGAACCATATCTCCCTCCATCCCACACAGGCCTGGTCTCCTAGCACTTTGGTTATTGTAAGTTAACGACACCAGGAATGCTGAATCATGTGACCGAAGGCACAGAAAATTAGGATATAGAAACTCATCACATGCTGTTTACAGATTCCTGCACTATCAAATTTCATTTCTTCCACGTTGTATCCCAGATCTTGGGCTGCACCACATTGAGAGGTTTGGTTGCAATACACCAGACCAGACACCGTCTCTGCCACCCCTTTACATTTTGGAGAGGACTTCCCCACAAAGCAAACCCTTGTGGGTTAGAGTGGCTTAGAGACAACACACTATTTGATTTGGAGGGAGTCTTCCGAGCCCCCCCCTTATGCCCATCTTCACTACCACGTTAGCCAGAGCTCCTGCTTCAAGCCAGATCAAGGGGGAGATTTTCAAAGGCAGAAATTAGAGTTGTTTGCCCAGTTCCCATGGCTTGTCAATGGGAGGTGAAAGCCTAACTCCCATTGTGCCTCTGAATATCTGCCCCAGCTTCAGATCTCATTCACACAGTCCAGGGTTTGCCGAGCAGGAGTCTCCATTAAAGTCAACTTCCAGATCGTCTTGTGCTTTATAAAGCCTTTCTATTGTATAACCAGGGATTATCTGATTGTCATAACCTTTGATACTAACTTTTAATGACTTGTAACATTTCGGATGTCTGTGAATGAGACTTGTAGAGTGATTTTTTTTTAGTGTCTTGTATTTTCTCTTGTGAATGAGTATTTTATATTTAACACAGTATTTAATAAAAAATATAATGATAATGCTAGAGAACATTTCTTGTGGAGTAGGATTTAAATAAAGACTCAAGATACCTCATTTGTGCCTGCTTTTTCTCCAGGGTGTTTGTTAAGTCCAAATGAGTTTTCTTGGAGGATCTTAAACAAACCAACAACAAAACCACACCCACCGATCTGATTTCCTACTCTCCCAAAATAGGATCACTGAGAAATGAGGAGAGGAGAATTGACAAGCCAAGATGTAGCATAATCACCAGTCCAATGCGACATTGTTGTTTGGCCAGCATTAAGTCGTATTCTTTTTCGGTACACGACTGATTATAGAATATAGTCCAAAGCAAATAAAGACTAGCCAGAGTGATAGGCAGTGGAAGACACTGAAGAGCTGATCCTGCGATGAGCTGCACGTGGAGAACTCAGTGACAATGAGGCTCCATTTGCTGTGAATGGAACAAGAGTGCCAAAAGGTCTCAGTGCATACATGGTATTTCCACGCGTAGTGAATGATGGCTTAGAGCAAAGCAGGTCAATGGGTGGTGGGTTGGGAAATGGTTTCACTGTAAGAGGGTCTGATGGGGGCAGAGATGCTATCTGGTCTCTGGGAAACAAGGGGTTAATTTAATGTCAGCTTTTAGCATGAGAGAAGGACTATAAATTGCTGGGGGCGGGGGAGATTCTGGTGAGAAGAAGAATGCTGCTGGAGAGCTTGGGCTCCCCACCAAGGTTATGGGCCTGGACTGATCTCCAAGAGGGGACATTTCCCTGGAAGAACAGAATTTGATGGTTGTTCCTGTCTTTTTTGCTGACTCGTTCCAGTGGTTTACAGAGACATCCACCTACAACGTCTCAGCTTGCAGCTTTTCCCCGAGAAGCTCTGGATGGAGGATTTTCAGGCTGTTGGGTGAATCCAGGAGAGGTTCCCCTTAAGAAAAGAAAGAAAGCCCCACAGTGGCTTCATTTCCAAACACCTTGTTGCCACCTCTGGCCTGTTATTTTTAGTCTTCCTCCTTTCACTTGTGTCAAATGTAGTGGGTGGAACTCAGCAGAGGCTGGTGACATGATGAAAGCAGGAAACCAAGTGTGATCTGTAAAGGGAGCCTCAGAGCCAGTAACGATCAGACGGTACGGGATTCAACACAGGAGACACAAGGTCTTAGTGACTTCAGTGGGAGCAGGATTCGGCTCCTAGTTTCTAACTGCCCCTACAACGTCTCTTTGTGAGTCAATACACAGATCAGCAGCATGCTATGAATGGATTCTGATGACGAGCTGCTGGGACCTATATACCAATTACACTCCTCAGCCATTCTGGCTTCTCACTTCCCCAGCTTTGCATACTTGCTACCTGAAAATGATATCAGCTTGCATGAGAGGCCAGAGTCTGACGGAAGTCAGTTACACTGGTGTAACTCCTCAGTGATTCCTTTGACTCGCATCATTCTGGATTTACACCAGAGTAACTGAGATCGAAATCTGACTCCAGCTCAGAAATTCATTCGGAGTTCTTCTGACGCACGCAGATTGGCTTCCCCCTGCTGGAGTGCTTGGGCCATGCAGTTTGATCTGTTAACTGCATCCCTCATCTCTCTTGCAGCGACGTTGGGACATGTGTGGCTGTTTGTGTTGAGAGGTGTGTGGGCATTCTAGTGGTATGAGTGATGAGGATGCGCTGTAATAACTGAGCATATTTCCTTACCAGCTTTAGTTATAAACTGGCCCAGTACCCCTCTGTATGGTCACCAGTCTGTGCAAGTGGACCCAATTGCTGGGTCCCATATCATTCTGAGTCTGCTGGATCCAGGTCGTTTCATCACTGTCTCTAGCTCTGGAATGCTAGGCAGACACCTGGGCCCAGTCCTCTCATCTTGCATCCTTCCTTGGGACACTGGACACGAACTTCCTAGACCCCCAAATCAGAGTCTGAGACCTTCTGAGTCCTCCCAGTCTCACACACTCCCTCAGAACTCTGCCTAGGGTGTGGACACTCATTTAATTCCTTAAGAGAAACCCTGGCAAGCAAGCAAAGAACACAGGCTTAGTGAAGGAATTTCTTAACCACAGTGACTTTGCCATTAAAAGCACTCAGGTTGCAGATAATTGAAAATAACCAAAGTCCTGAGAGACATTCTCCCTCCTGCTGAGCTCACCCCTTCAGTGAGAGTGTAGTTTGTCAGAACTTCAGGCGGGGCAAAGTCTTTCCTTCTTATGTGTGCCAGTGGTCAGGACCCCTTGCAAAGAGCCATGTGTTCACACTCCCAGTCCAGCCAGTCATGTTTGTTCCTTTCCCTTGCAAGCTCCTGTGTAGAACGGCCTTTGTTCCATGGAGATGAACCGTTAATTGATGGCCCTAGATCGCAGTCTTGATGGCTCTCGGCAGTGGTCATAAGAATGGCCATACTGGGTCAGGCCAATGGTCCATCTAGTCCAGGATCCTGTCTTCTGACAGTGGCCAATGCCAGGTGCTTCAGAGGGAATGAACAGAACAGGGCAATTTTGAGTGATCCCTCCTTTTGCCCAGTCCCAGCTTCTGGCAGTTGGAGGATGAGGGACATCTGGAGCATGGGCTTGTGTCCTGCCAATCCTGGCTAATAGCTGTTGATGGACCTATCCTCCATGAACTTATCTCATTCTTTTTTTCAACTCAGTTATACTTTTAGCCTTCACAACACCCACAGCAACAAGTTCCACAGATTGGCAGTGTGTTGTGTGAAGAAGTACTTCCTTATGTTTGTTTTAAACCAGCTGCCTATTCATTTAATCAGGTGATGCCTAGTTCTTGTGATATATGAAAGGGTAAAATAAGAATTCCCTATTCATTTTCTCCATACCTTTTTGCACTTCTAGTCTTCAGCATCACACTGCCTATAACAAGTGTGCTTAGAAATCCAAGCTCCAAACAGGTGTGTCAGTACATCCTCAGGGGGCCTGGATCAACGTTCATATCGCACTCCCCATCAGCACCTGGCCCAAGCCGGGGAAGCTAATGATCCAGCCAGTGGACCAAATTTGGTGATGAATCCTGGTCACATGCCACCTGAGGCACATTGTGCATATGCTAAGAAGTACTTCCTCCTATCCACTTTATCTCCTTGTCCTGGTGGGGATTCATCCCAAAAGGAGATGGGTGGGTGGGGAGATCTACCCACCCGGCTTTGCTCACTTCTCACAGCTGTCCACAGATGCCCTCATTTCCAGAACCATATCTCCCTCCATCCCACACAAGTCTGGTCTCCTCACACTTTGGTTATTGTAAGTTAAGGACACCAGGAATGCTGAATCATGGGACCGAAGGCACAGAAAATTAGGATACAGAAACTAATCTCATGACGTTTACAGATTCCTGCATTATCATATTTCATTTCTTCCACATTGTATTCCAGATCTTGGGCCGCAGCGCACTGGGTGGTTTGGTTGCAATATACCAGAAGCGACACAGTCTCTGCCACCCCTTTACATTTTTGGGGGGACTTCCCCACAAAGGAAACCCTTGTGGGTTAGAGTGGCTTAGAGACAGAAAACTATTTGATTTGGAGGGAGTCTTTCTAGCCCCCTCCCCTTATGCCCATCTTCACTACCACTTTAGCCAGAGCTCCTGCTTAAAGCCAAATCAAGGGGGAGATTTTCAAAGGCAGAAATGAGTCATTTAGTTAAGAATAGGTTATTGATTTAGTGATTAACTTACCTTAACAAAGAATCTGAAAAAGGCCACTTTTATACCAAACTGAGAGTATCCAAACTGAGCTTGCACTAGTTTAATGAAATCCATTTAACCTAATCAGTTCAACTAAACCAGTACAATATAGACAAGGCCTTATTTCCCTCCCACCCGTTGTCTATCTTTGTCTATTTAGATTGTGAACTTTATGGGGCAGGGACTATCTCTTGCTATGTGAGGTGTTTGCTCAAGGGGGCCTGATCTTAGTTAGAGCCTATAGGCATGACCACAATACAAAGGGGAAGGGAAGTGGCAGCTGCCAGGCCATTTAGATGGCCATTGCTGAGGACAATAATGTTTATGTTTTGTACAGCTCCGAGCACGTTTTCAGCCCCGGGAAATAACAATTCACAATAATATTTCCTCTCTTGTGGTGTCTGCCACCGGAGGATCACAGAGCTCTTGATAATAAGTGGATTAGTGTAAACTCTTTGGGCAGGGCCACCTTTTTGTCATGTGTTTGCAAGACAACTAATGGCCAATACTTGAGCCCTGATCCAAATGCATAGTATCTCTCACAACAACCCAGGAAGCAGGTGAGAGACGCAGGAGGGATCAGTTACCCACCACTGCCCTGCATCCACCTCTGGCGGGGAAGGCGGCAGCTGTACAGGAGACCCGCAGGCTCGGGCTAGGAGGCTGCTCGGTGCCTGTTTTGCACCTTCCCCGCGTGGGTCTGACAGAGGGGCCGGTTCGATACCCGGGCCATGCCTAGGGCTGGGCCGGTGCCCCCGGGACCCGCCGAGCTCGCCCCGCGGCCCCCCGGCCCGTGGCGCTGAGGATCCCGAAGGTGGCGCCCTGGAGCCGCGGAGCCGCCTCCTCTCCACGGCCATCTCCGCCCCGGCTGGCGGGACGTGAGCGCTCCGGGCTCGGCGGGGCTCGGCTAGCGCCGGCTCCTGCCCTCTACAGCCGGGCTGGCCGGGGCGGGGAGCCGCGGCAGCGAAGAGGCGCCCGACGAGACCCCGGCCAGGGACGGTGAGTAACGACTTGGGGGGCGCGGAGCCTGCAGAGTGCCCCGGGCAGGGGCCAGCCCGGGGCAGGGGCAAGGGCGAGCCTGGGACAGGGGAGAGCCTGGGGAAGGCTGAGCTGGGGGGGACCCACTAAAGTGGCTTCAAGTTGAGGAGCCAGAGACCGAAAAAGGGGGGCGAGGGAGACAGGAGACCCCCCCGGGGGGCTGGCAGCAGGGCTCCCCTAGGGCTGGGGGCAAGCAGCCAGCGAGAGGCAGACAGACAGACAGACATGCGGGCACACACACGCTTGCGGGGCAGCCTGGCACACGGACCCTGGAGAGGCTGACAGGTATCGAGAGAGACGCAAACACCCGCTGAGCGAGACACCGACAAGCAGCCAGAGCGAGCCAAGGAGACACGCAGGCACTGGGAGGGGCAGCCGGACCGACAGACACAATGTGAAAGAAAGGAGCAGCCCACTGGCTTGCAGCGACCCGCCCTTCCTGAGAAGGGTCCCAGCAAACCCCCACATAGCCGGCACCGCGAGGCAGGGAGGCTGGCCTCAGAACTCTGCTAGCCCTGGGATATTTGTTTCCCTTCCCTTAGAAAGTGAAGCCAGAGAGCCAGAGTTGAGGCTTGTCTGGGTTGCCATTGGAGACCAAACCTGCCCTGCTGCCTTGCAAATAACGCCAGCCTGTAAAGAAGCAAACCTGATGGTTTGGTGGGGGAATCCGGCTGCTTTTCTACTCCCCCGCCAAACAACCCATTTCACCCACTTTCAGGGTCTCGCCCATCCCAGAATGTCTGGCTTTAGCAGGAAAATGTTTGCAATACAATTGCCCCCCCCCCCAGCAATTTCTGTCGGAGTTTAAGTAACTTCAGTAAATCATGAAGAAAATGCAGGGGAGTTAGTCAGTTGCTCTGGGATTGCCTACTTCCAGCGCTGTGCAGGATCAGTTCATAATTTTTCCAGTGATAATTAAGAACTCCTCATTAGACAGTCCACTGAGCGTGAAAGCGAGCAGAAAGCAAACACACACACTTTAAGATCCAGTTCTTGCATACAGTACACAGGGTTGTCATTTGTACATGGGCATTACTGCAGGGACAGTATGCATATGGGCCTGAGCAAAACTCCTTTTTAAAAGATTCATATTAAGACCCCTATTGACTTCAGCCGGAGTAGAACATGCTCTGCAATTTGTAGGATCAGGCCCCTGATTTTTATCATCTGTTCAAGTAGTGCCCTGGCTGTAGGTAGCAGTTGACAAACTTGTAGTAAGATGTGGGCAAGGAACCATCATTTTGTTCTGTGGTTTTACAGCGCCTAGCACAGTGAGGCAGTTGCCCATGCCTTGGATGCCTAGGTGCTGCTGAAATATAAATTAATAATAATAGTAATAATTAATAATGCTTTGAGGAGTTTAATGCCCAATCCAACTTTGGCTGAAGTCGGTGGCAAGACTCCTGTTCACTTCACTGGGAGTTGGATCAGGCCCTAAATATGACAGATGCAAAACAACTGATTAACTATCAGTCTCTAAATGACAGACTTGATAGTAACACCCTGGAGAGAGGAGGGGGCTGCTTTCCTCACTACAGAGGCATTTGCAGAGGTGTCCCTGCAGTCCCTGTGCACGGAATCTGAACTCTTCCAGTTAGGTACTGGCAGCTGAGTCTCAAACCTGTGAGTCTTCCTGTTTTCTCTTCAAGTCTTTATTGCCATACTAAATGTTCCCTTATTCTGAATAAGCAAAAGAATTTTCCATCTGACATCTGATTGGAGAAACAACCAACTAGTCCAACCTTTCTTATTTGACTCAGCTTACCCACTTGCCACCATAGGCTCAAAATCTCTCACCCTACCGGAAGTTAATTACAGAGTCAGTTTGAGTGATGATTTTTATTTTCTTTAATTTCACTCCCATCCCTATTATACAGGCTGAAGGTGAGGCCAGGGGACACCTCACCAAAGCAAATGGTCTGCCTAAGCTCACTTTACATTGGGCTTGGATCTGTAGAGGGTCAGGATTTAATAGTCAAGGGATGTAAGTCTAAATCTCTGGGTCCACAATCTTCTCATTTCCTTTCCTTTGGAGTTATAATTTGTTCCACATTGTAGTGTTGGAGCCAGCCCTCAATCCGCCCACAGTGTCTGTGCTGCTCTCTGCCTGAGGCTGCGACTCTGGTTTCCATTTAAGAAAGGAAATTCTGCAAATAGGGACCTGAGATAAATAGCCTCACTGGTTGTATTTCTTGGACAATTAAATCTGAAATAAGCAGCACACATGCATGTGCAATAGGCCAGCACAGCCACCTTCGCATTGTTGTGTGTAACCTGCATGCTCTGGGATAAACACGGGGGAAATTCAAGAAGGCTGGAAGAGTGCTAATATTGTGCCAATATTCAAAAAGGGCAAGCGGAATGACCCAGGTAACTGTAGGCTGATCAGTTGGACATCAGACCCAGGCAAAATAATGGAAAAGCTGATACGGGTTCAGTTGATAAAGAATTAAATGATAGGAATATAATTAATGCCAGTCAACATTGTTTCATGGAAGATAGATCTTGTCAAATAAACCTTCATTCTTTGAGGAGATGACAAGTTTGGTTGATAAAGATAACTGCATAGATATAATATACGTACATTTTTGTAAGGCATTTGACTTAGTACTGCACAACATACTGAGAAACAAATTAGCACTCTATAGCGTCAATAAAGCACACATTAAATGGATTAAGAACTGGCTAACTGACAGCTTTTGAAAAGTAGTTGTCAGGAGGGGATCATCATTGTATTTCTAGAGGGGTTTTGCAGCCCCTTCAGTACAGTACTAGGCTTGATGCTAGCCAGTACTTGCATCAGTGATCTGGAAATAAATATAAAATCACGGCTTATAAAATTTGCAACTAAGACAAAGATTGGCAAAGAGAAATGACCAGGCAGGCCTACAGAACAATCTGGATTGCTTGGTAAACTGGGCCCATTCAAGTAAAGTATGTTTTAATATAGCCAAATGCAGAGTTATACTTGTAGGAACAAGGAAGGCGGGCAATACCTCCAGAATGGGAGACTGTAGTCTGGAAGGCAGTGACTCTGAAAAGGGTTTAGGGGTCTGTAGACAGGCAACTGAGGGTGAACTCTCTGCGATGCTGTGGCACAAATGGTTAATGCGATCCTTGGATGTATAAATGGGAGTAGTGAGTAGAAGTCAGGAGTGGGTTTTAACTCTGTACACAGCCTTGGTGAGACCAGTACTGGAATACTGTGTACAGTTCTGGTGTTGCGTTTTAAAAAGGGTGTTGAAAAATTGGAGCGAATGCAGGGGAAAAAACCACAAAAATGATTCGGAAGCTGAAGAAAATGCTTTACGGTGAGAGACTGGAAGAGCTCAATCTGGTCATTTTGTCAAAAAGAAGGTTGAAAGATGACTTGATTGCAGTGTACATGTACCTTCTTGGGAAGAAAATACGGGATACGAAAGAGTTCTTTATTCAAATAGAAGAAGGCATAACAAGAAAAGGTTCATAACAAGAACCAATGACTGAAGCTGAAGCTAGACAAATTCAAAGAGGAAATAAGGCACACATTTTTAGCAGTGGGGGATGATAAGCCATTGGAATAAGCTACCAAGGGAAGTCAGGGATTCCCATCTCTGATGTCTTCAGATTACGAATGGCTGCATTTCTAGAAGATGGGCTTTACCCAAACATGAGTTACTGGGCTGTGTACAGGGGTAACTGGGTCAAATCTAATAGCCTGTGAGATACAGGAGGTCAGACCCGATGATTTAGTGGCCCCTTCTGGCCTTAAACTCTGTGAACCTATGACAAAGATTATTTCTCGGCACTGACTACCTCTTTCTAAGGCCAGGTCTCCACTACAGACTTATAGTGGTATAACTACGTCGTTCAGGGGTGTGAAAAACCCACACCCCTGAGTGACGTACTTATACTGACCTAACCCCCAGTGTAGACAGGGCTTCTCCTGTCACCACAGCTATTGCCTCTCGTGGAGGTGGACTGACTACGCTGACGGGAAGAGCTCTCCCATCGGCGTAGAAGCTTAAGTGCTACAGCGGTGCAGCTGCACCACTGATGTACCGGTTTCAGTGTAGACCCGCCCTAAGACACATTGACCAGGTCAGAAGCTGCTGCTTCAACAGGGGTCTCTTTTCAGTTCTGTTTTTCAGTTTGTCATGTTTTAACAAGTATGGGAAAGCAGAGGGCTGGCTATGAATGCCTGGCCTGCCCTCCTTCATATAGAAAGACACGGCAAAATAGAACAAGCCGAGGACGAAAATCTTTGAGTGGGTTAAAAATATGTAGCGCTCCCCAGGGGGAATTCCAGGGGCGACTTGCTTTTCTCTGGGCAGGGTAGCACCTTTGATGGACTATTGGGCTGATCTGTTAGCGAGACCCACTAGCATATTTGACTCTCTCTACCTGTTGAGCCTGGCATGTTTTTTTACAGGCTAAAAGGGGAAGAGCTGAAGGAAATGTGTTCCTTCCTGACCCTGCACTCTCTGGAAGTCTTTTCCCAACTTTGTCCCCTTATGATCTTGGAGTAGTGCTGCTGGGATTTTGAATGAGCTGCTAGCCCTGGTGTAGCGGTCTGTGATCCCAAGAGGTGATAGCATCCCTTGTAATTCATCTAAGAATGTGTCCACAGACCTGTTTCTCTCCGGTATTGCTCAGGCTCCTGTCATCACAGTATCTAAGCAATAGCCACCAACTAAAGATAGCAGTGAGCCTGCGGAAAGAGGGCTCTGTGCTCGCTGTCTCCCCTCATTCTCTTTTTCTCACCTTCCCTTCCTTCCTCTCCTATAATGCTTCCTTCTTGCCTTGCCTTTCTCTCCCCCTTCCTCACCCTCTGTGCCTTTGGGGTAGACTCTGCTAACTGGACAAGGCTTTGTTAGAGAAGTCAGTCTTACATTTAGACTTGAACGTGATCGGGCTCTGTCTCAATCTAACTTACCCTGCTAAGGAGATCACACTGCTGAGAAAGGCCTTGGTATCAGACTCTCAGCCAATCCAGCTGCAGCACCCTTGTCGAGTGTAGTTGTCCCGGTGGGTCATGGCTGGACAAGCAAGTGTACAGCCATATCAGTCGCCAGCTCACCATCTACCTGTCAGCTCATGGGCCACCTTCATCTGCAGGTTTAGCCCATGGAGACTACAGGCCCCAGCATGCCATGCTCTGGCTACTTGGATCAAGATGGAGAAGAGTAGCTGGATACTAAATATGAGGGCACCTGTGAGTAGTACTGTAGAGAGGTACTTTAGCCCCTGCGCCAAAGATGAAAGAACAGCTCCACCGGGGGTGCTATTATATCCACAAGCTGCTGATATATTTCAGGTTTCAGAGTAGCAGCCGTGTTAGTCTGTATTCGCAAAAAGAAAAGGAGGACATTGGCACCTTAGAGACTAACCAATTTATTTGAGCATAAGCTTTCGTGAGCTACAGCTCCCTTCATTGGATGCATACTGCATACTTCCACAGTATGCATCCGATGAAGGGAGCTGTAGCTCACGAAAGCTTATGCTCAAATAAATTTGTTAGTCTCTAAGGTGCCACTAGTACTCCTTTTCTTTTTGATATATTTCGGTAGAGCAGTCCTGTGTCTCTTATATACACATAAGCCATCACATCACACTACCGCCGGAGGACTAGAGGATATAATTGAATGGCTCTTGCAGATTTTTGTAACTGGGGTGAAAGCAAAATGATGTTCTCTATTTTCCTGTCCTGTTTCAGAAGTGGGAGGAACAAGTTTCTGTGAAAATGAATAATGCAGGGGAAGCTGCAGGGTTTGCTATGAAGAGGAGAATAAGTGACTGAAAGAAAGCGATGTGAAAAGAATGGTAAGGTAAGTAAAGGTCTTTAAATAGGCACCAGGAGACACTTAGCTGGAACATTTGGGACAGGCTGCTAATGTTTAAAGTTACTGAGTGCTGATACAATGGGGGAGTAGGGATGCCACTCTGCCATAGGAAACTGTTCTTATGACTGCTTTTGGTACTAACAAAAACGAGGAGTCCTTGTGGCACCTTAGAGACTAACAAATTTATTTGGGCATAAGCTTTCGTGGGCTAGAACCCACTTCATTGGATGCCTGAAGTGAAAATACAGGAACAGATATAAATACATAACGGGAGCTGCCCAGCTGATTTTGGGATATTGAAATTATACCCCAACAAGCCTAAGTGACTATTAGATTTTGTGGTGTTTTATTTACAACACTATTGACCTGCTAATGATACATTGCAGTGCAGTGCTCAGATGGGAGGACATGTGTTGACCACATGAACATCAAATTAATTTGTTATGATCATTACCAAAACAGTTCAGAATAAATAATGGCATCATGGCAAGATGAATAGCCATCGTTGGTGTGGCTGGTCTGTGTGTTCCATGACATGCGAAGAGATGCCTAGATAGTTGATACAGATTCCTCTGAGAGGAAAAAACAAACCTCTGGCTGATTCCTTTATAGTTTTCAACAGTAAATGCCCCCCCAAAAATCTTGCTTTCTACTTTTGCATATGGCAAACGTTTGAAATGTCTGGAGCTGCCTACCTCTGCTGCAAGTTTTTTGTCCTCAAACACTGCATGTTTAATAATAGCATAACAGTGGAACTGTACTGTAAGCACCAAGGAGATTTTGGGGATTTAGGTGCATGAGGTATTTAGGTGCACAAGTCCTAGTGACCCTCCATAAGGCTTGTGTGCCTAAATTGTTTAGGTGGTTTTGAACATTCTCCCCCCCACCCCCCCAATGACTCGGTAGACCTGGAGTTACTTTGTCACAGGTAATATGAGCTGAGGTGATCTTAGCTGAAACCTAGCCCCAGTGTTTGTTCTACTCCAAAGCTTATGCTGTAATAAATTGGTTAGTCTCTAAGGTGCCACAAGTACTCCTGTTCTTTTTACGGATACAGACTAACACGGCTGCTACTCTGAAACCTACTCCTCTCTGTTTAGTTTCTTATAAGATGCCCATGAGCATAGAGGTCTGGAAAGAGCATGTTTCATTATCACTCTATGTTGTCCCTTAGGCTCTCGGATGGACACAAGACCATATCTTATTTTGTATTTTGCAAAAAGCCATGATTTCTGGATGGGCTGAGCACCCGTCACTCCCTTTAAAGTCAGTAAGTTCTCTGAGTTTTCAGCACATTGCAAACTGGAGCCTTTCCTGAACTACACGCACAACAGTGAAATGACCATGCTTGGAGCCTCTTTGTATGGATGAAACACATTTTGCTCTGAAGTTTTGGGCCTCTGGAACTAGAGAAGCTGAGTTTGCGTAGGGCGTTCTACAGAAAGAACACAAAAGTTGCTGCGTTCTAAACAATGTAGTTAACATTCAGATGGGCACTTTAAAAAGTACAGCTGGTTTTAGCTGCCCACGTTTGGGGCTTGAAGGAATTGGTTTCTGCAGCTGGAAGTGTCACAAAGTTGTATAGGTGCTGAAGGGAGTTTTGCACTGATGAGATTAGCTGGGAAAATATTCAGCTATCTGGATGCTCTAAATGATTCTTACATAAAAGTTATTTTCTCTCTCTCTCGCTCATCTGTCAGTGGAGTCTTTCGGGCAGACTCCTAGGGCTGGTCTACACTAGAAAGTTAGGTCTATCTAGCTACGTCGCTCAGGGGTGTGAAAAATTCACACCCATCAGAGATAGAATCATAGAATATCAGGGTTGGAAGGGACCTCAGGAGGTCATCTAGTCCAACCCCTGCTCAAAAGCAGGACCAATCCCCAATTAAATCATCCCAGCCAGGGCTTTGTTGATTTAATTAAGATGTAGTTAAGCTGACCTAAGCCCCAGTGTTGACACCATTAGGTCGACGGAAGAATTCTTCTGTCGATTATGTACTGCCTCTCAGGGAGGTGGATTTACTACAGCGACAGAAGAGGGTCTACACTGTGTGTGCTAGAGTGGTGCAGCTACGCCGAGCTGCATCAATTTTTCTTCTGTCCTTTTCCAGAATCCCTTTGCCATGCTCCAGCAATCCATTGCTAGTGAGGGCTGATTGGACCTTCCTAGGTAGAGTTGGGCAAGGAACAATTTTCCCATCCTGCAAGGGTTTTTGACGTTTAAAGATTTTTTCTGTCCCATAACGGAATGAAAAGTCAAAATCTCAAAGTTTTGTGAACCAATAATAATAATAATAATAATAATAATAAAATTGCAGTTTGGTCAGTCAAAATGTTTTGTTTTGATTTTGACCATTTAAAAAACATGTTTAACCTTTTCGGTATAAATTGAAATTTCAAAATGAAAAGTCATTTCAAGTAGATACATTGAAACTTTTTTATAATGCCCAAATGGGATGTTTTGACAGTTTTGAAACTTTCTTCAAATAATGTTCAAACTGGGAGATTTATCGTAACCAGCCCCTTTCCTGCAAATGGTTTCAATGAATCAACACTTCCCAATGAGAACAAATTTTGTTGGAAAATTACGGACCCTCTCTGATCCTAAGGGCTTGTGAAAGTTGGTCCTCAATCAGCCAGGTAGGGTCACTTTTGAATGACCCAAGACTTACTCTCCTCGTGGCTTGAGCCCATAGCTACAGCAATGCTCCTGAGAAATGTTATTTTAGTGAATGCCAAACTTGGGTTTTAAATCAGAGCTGACGGTCACGTTCTAAATCGAGGGAAGAAGAACGGTCTTGTGGATTATTATTATTTAACATTTCTATGGCACTACATGACAATTCATGAGTTCTGGGTTCTAATCCCATCTCTGCCACAGACTTCCTGTGCCTCAGTTTTCCCATTTGTGAGATGGAGGAAAATAGTATTTCCCTACCTCAAAGGGATATAGGAAGAATAAATTCATTAATATTTGACAGGTTTCAGAGTAGCAGCTGTGTTAGTCTGTTACCCGCAAAAAAGAAAAGGACTTGTGGCACCTTAGAGACTAATAAATTTATTTGAGTATAAGCTTTTGTGAGCTACAGCTCACTTCATCGGATGCATTCAGTGGAAAATACAGTTTGTATCCGATGAAGTGAGCTGTAGCTCATGAAAGTTTATGCTCAAATAAATTTGTTAGTCTCTAAGGTGCCACAAGTACTCCTATTAATACTTGAGGTGCTTAGATGTTATGATGAGCCTCATAGATAAATCAATACAAATCATAAAATACAGCAAACCGAGCCCCAGAGATTATATGTATATTTTTCAAGCTAAATACTGCATCCGTTTTAACTGACAAGGCACTGCAGTTAAACTCCCGAGGCCGGCCCGGGCTAGCTGACTGGGCTCGGGCTGCGGGGCTGTTAAATTGCAATGTAGGTGTTCAGGCGCGGGCTGTAGGGTCCCGGAGCCCGGGCTCCAGCCTGAGCCTGAATGTCTGCACCACAGGGTTACAGCCCCGCACCCCAGAAGTCTGAGTCAGCTGACACAGGCCGGCCCTGGGTGTTTAACTGCCGCCTTGACATACCCTGACTGTCTCTCTGTCCTATTTCCTCATCTGTTAAATGCGGATGATAAAACTTCCTTTCCCCAACCCTCTCTCTGCCTTGTGTATGTAGACTGTAAACTCTGAGGCAGGCGCTGTCCTTTTCTCTATATCTGTTCAGTGCCTAGCACGATGGGGCCTGATTTGGGGGCTGCTGTAATCATGCATTTAGGCCACAAATCCATCTGGGTTCACACCAGACCTGGAGCTGAGTGTGTGTTTGTGTGTGTGTGTAGTGGGGGATTCACCCCTTTCTAATGCTCTGCTGCCCTCATTCCTATGGAGAACTCTCCCTCCCTGCAATGGACCAATCCCATCGCTCAGTGCTTTGGGACTGACTCACTTTTTTTGTTTGACCACCTGTCAGGTTTTGCCATTATTAATTGCCTGCCTGAGGGAGAGACCTTTCAGGGAGCCTGTTGCTCTTGGCTGCTGCTGCTACTCCAGCAGGGAAAGTCACCTCTCTGCCTTGGAGCAGGAGGGGAAAGGGAAAGAGTTTTTTCCCCTTTCTGTTTCTTGCTTTGTTTCTTTCTGAGCCAAATCACTGCAAAGGTAAATGCTATTACAGATTCAGGGGAGACTGTCGGACTCAGGATTGGAAATAAGATATTACGCCGGAGCAGAAAGCATGGTCCTGTGCTCATAGCTGCAGACTGGAAGTCACCAGTTCTGTGTTAGAGCCACTGACCTTGCACAAATTATGTAATCTTTCTGTGCCTCAATTGCCTCATCCACTTCACCCCAGGAAGGGATGGGGAGGGGCCAAGTCGCCTGTGAGTTAATGGGGAAAGGGGTCTGCCTCTCTGCCTCCTTTTGCCCTGGGTGCCCAGATGGCCCTTATAAGGGGCAGTGATGTGATGTGAGCAGTATGTGGAAGGTGATAAGGGAGGACAGGGCATGAGAAGGAGCATCAGTAAGGCTGTCTGGGAGCAGGGGAAGGGGGTCACACTGCGGCTAGAGCTGGATGGGATATGTGTATGTGTGCAGACTGAATGGGAGAAGTCAGAAAGATTATACCTTGGAGAAGTTCCCACTGCTCACAAAAAACAATAAGATCAGAAGGTGACCTCTTCCATTAGCAGCAGGGGCGCTTTCCCATCCTGGGCTGGAAGGTGGTTTGGAGTCTGTCCAGTGCCGATGGACAATCTTTCTGATAACGTGCGCGCTCTTCTTGGATACTGTAAAGACCTGACAGAAATAGCATCATCTACGGCAGGCAAAGTGGCCCTGTAGATCGGGCACATGTCTCAGTCTCATTCCTACTCTGCTGCTGATTTACTATATGAAATTAGGTAAGTCCCCTGGCCTCTCTTTGTCTCTATTACAACAGTGGTTCTCAACCAGGGGTACACATACTTCTGGGGGTACGTGGAGGTCTTCCAGGGGGTGCACCAACTCATCTAGATATAGCCCTAGTTTTACAACAGGCTCCATTAAAAGCACTAGCGAAGTCATACGGACTAAAATTTCATACGGACAACGGCTTGTTTAAACTGCTCTATGTACTGTACACGGAAATGTAAGTACAATATTTATATTCCAATTGATTTATTTTATAATTATATGGTAAAAATGCAATTTTTCAGCAATTTTTCAGTAATAATGAGCTGTGACACTTCTGTATTTTTATGTCTGGTTTTGTAAGCAAGTAGTTTTTAAGTGAGGTGAAACTTGGCGTACGCAGGACAAACCAGACTCCTGAAAGGGGTACAGTGGTCTGGAAAGGTTGAGAGCCACTATAGTACAGTATTAATAAAAGAGGAATAATGCGGCCTCTCCATCTTTGTAAAGTGCTCTGAGATCTGTGGAGGAGATGTGTTCTGTATAGGTGCTAACTGTGGTTGATGATGATGATTGATGTCTGCCTCCGAGGGAGGGTTACGAGATCCTTGAATGGAAAGCGCTCCAAGAGTGCAAAGTAGTAGTGATAATATAACATAGCAGTGCTAATTGTCTATATAGAACCTTTTGCCTGTAGGCTGCCATTTCACGCCCAGCCCAGGATACTAGTAACAACCTCGCTTAGTCGCTATCTGATGTCTGCTCAGTGTCTGCAGCAAAATGAGCTTCATGGCCTCATGCCTCAAGTGGCCACATTAAAGCCATATGGCCATCACAGCTGGCCCTGCTTGACGATGTTGTTGACAGCCTCAGCAGAGGCCAGGGACTGAATGGGGGATGTAGACTTAGGTGGTACCTCTCTCTTAGGTTTGATGCACAGTAGTAGGGTGGAGGAAGCTTGCCCTGGTACTGTCTGTGCTGTACCTGTTTTGGGATAAAGAGAAGCCTGCGGTTTCCAGGGTTGTCAGCCCGGCACCTTTCTCCAGCAGTAATGTCACACGCTGTTATCGCAGAGTGTAGGTCAAGTAGGAGGAGTGTGGAGACAAATAAAACTCCAAGTTCTGCCCTGTGTCCAGTGGAACAAATGCTCCTTCCATGCTTGCCCTTGATACAATCGCTCTTGGCATCATCAAGCTATTTAGCTACAAAGTGTTGTTGGGACTTTTATTGAAATCTCTTAAACCTAGGAAAGCATGTGTCCAGCAGTAACTCACATACTCACAGTTGCAATTGTGTGTCCATTCACGCATCAGGATTGTCACACTGTGCCTTGGTAGGAATGATCATGTTATAAATCAGCTGTTGGTTTAAAGTTGATAATTTATATAACAATATGTACCCAGATTTTTAAAGAATCGTCTATGTGAATGGGTGAGATGTTCTTGGAGGGGAAAAATTCACATCACAGGCCTACCAGAGACTGATCCTAATTTGTCCACCTACTGTAGGGTGATTCATAAAGTTAGAATCAGCACCTTAGGATATTTCTAGCTATGCTTAGCCTTGGTGTAGATGCATAAGATGCTTTTCTCTTGCCAGATGTCTCTTGCCAGATCTCACTCGAGTCCTAATGTGATTTTAAAATATAAATCTTTTATTTAAAAGTAGAGCTGCAAAATCTAAACTGAAATGTAGGGAAGCCCAGAAAATCTGTGCCAAATTCCCCCACTAACTGGCTATGACAGGCATTCAGCAAAGAAATTTTCCTGTGAGGTGTCACCCAGTCTGCCACACATCACATTACCCCTTAAATATTACCCAGATACACATCTCGCAATGATTATGAGTATCGATAAATTAAAAGTTTTCACACATGCTACCCTTCATGGATAAATACCATGAAAGTGGTGTATTATGTGTAGTGAGTTTGTCAGGACTAAAGCAGGAGTTGGTTGTGAAGAACAGTAAACCCTTTGCCAATTGGCACCAATGAGCTTCTGTGTCACAATCTCCCCTTGTGTTCTAAGTGTAACGCAACTGCTGGGCTCTGCTTTTCTCTCGCCCTGAGAACATCTGCAGGGAAGCGTGCGCTTGGCTAGCCAGGAGAGACATCCATTGGTCTATAAACCAAGGATGCTTGGTATAGCTCCAGATCAAATTCCTAGGGAAAATTCATCTTGGGTAATTCCACTGATTTCAGGGGTGAGGGATAAATTTGGCTCCTGCTGTCCTGTGTCACACGTGTAAACTCACAGCATCAGTCCTGCACTCTTCTTGCCATTCCAGAGATGACCGCATGTCCCCTCTGGGCCACAGTCCAGGCATGGGATCTTGGAGTCACTTCTGCTCCAGTTTGTTTGAAGGTTTCTGCTCATATGCTTGCTATTATCTCTGTTTCCCCTCAGGGCTTTAAAATGCTGATTTGCCTTTTTTGTTTCTGTTCACTCTGCAGCTGTGTCCCATGACGACCTCACCCGCTATGTTCTACGGATCTTCGTCCGCCATGTCCTCACCTTCCAAAAACAAGCTTAAGCGTCAGAGCCGGATATTCTCTCAGGTCTTGTACCGGACGCTGAGCCACAAAGACCGCAGCTCGGTGTCGGCTTTCCCCCTTGCAAGCAGCGATGACCCAGCTGAACTTTCCACTCAGGTTTCAGCCCCTGGGGTCCTGAAGATATTTGGGGGCAACATCTGTGCGGGCACCAACTACAAGAGTGTCCTTGCCACGGGGAGCTCAAGTGCGCGGGAGCTGGTGAAGGAGGCATTGGAGCGCTATGGGCTGAGCAAGGTGGACGCTGGCCTCTATGTGCTGTGTGATGTCATTGGGATGTTCAGCGGCTCTGAGAAGCAGTGGCAAACGGAAGGGTTGCGAGTCCTCGGTGATAATGAGAAGCCCCTTCTGATTCAGGACCTATGGAAGCCCAAGGAAGGGTTCTCCCGGCGTCTGGAGCTACGGAAGAGATCTGAGGTGGAGGAGCTGGCCGCGAGGGACGTAGACACGATCACGGCAGGTAAGAGCTGCATATAGGTGCTTAACTGAGCAAGGGCCATGGGGCGAGCTCTCGGCTCTTAATGTGGAGGAGTTGCCCCTGCCTTGTGCCAGACTAGTGATGGCGATATAGCCTGTAGTGGGCACTGAATCTCATGTTTTAGACAGCGAGTGCAGATCCTTAGCTGATATAAACAGGCCTAGCTCTGTTATCCTCAGCTGGTGTAAATGGGCGCGGCGGCATTAGCATTAATCCATTTTATTACTTCCCACCCCCCTTTTTCTTCACATCAGTGGAGCTATGACAATTTACAGCAGCTGAGGATCTGGCCCTGGGAGCATTGTAGATCTTTCCTGAGCTGGCGATAGTTTATATTTATTGTAATGTGATATTGTGTCTCTGCCCAGAAACAGTCGCAATCTGGTGCACTCTGGGCTTTGTCAAAGGGCCTTACAGAGGTGCCAGTTCAGGTGCCCATCCCCGTGGGGGCCCAGAAGGCCTGATAGGTAGAGGAATCAGTAAATTTCCACTGTCCAAGAGGGCAGGCTATCAGTTTTAGGGATTCCGCTCCTTCCTGGGGACCCAGAGCTGTGTTCCGCAAGCTTCCTCTGCAATACCATGCAAGGGGAGTGCTGATGGGGGGACATGACCAGTGGATCCACGACTAAGGGGAATCAGTGTAGGGCGTAGGCACAGCTGCCATAGAGCCAGCTGTAGCCTGGAGGCTACAGTAACAGCCATAGGAGCAAGGGGGACCCTGTCCTATGCTGAGGATTCTCTTAGGCTTGGCATAGGGCCTAGGATTTGACCCAGAGGAACTGAACTCATTAGCATATTAGGAAAAACTTTCTAACTTTAAGGATAGTTAAACACTGGAACAGGTATTGTGGAAGGCTGTAGAATCCGTGTTTTGGAGGTATTAAGAAAAGGTTAGACAAACTCCTGTCAGGGATGGTTGAGGTATACTTAATCTTGCCTCGGCATGGGGGCCTGAACTCTTGAGATCCCTTCCAGCCCTATGTCTCTATGATTCTATGGCAATGCTGAATCTTAATGCTGAATCTCGCCTTTAATTGTATGTCAGCATTTTAGACTGTGCTTGTTTTCTGTCCCTCCGATCATAGTTAAATTAAATTATGATGCCATTTGGGAGCCTGCAGACTGTTTTGCTATTGGCTGAGTTCCCTGCCTCCCCTCTCCTCCATTCCCAAATAGGCTTTATGTTTATCAAGGGAAAAGCCTGAACCTGCAAGTTGAGCACTTAGCTGATTTCATTACAGTTCCAGCAGGACTTATCCAATGGCGGGAGATCCTTAGCAAATTTTAGGAGCAATCAAATGAAATAAAGAGATAATGAGAGAAAACCAATGTGGGCCAAAACATACTCTGCATTATTGCCTATGGGTGGAAAGTGTAGATTAATTGTGAATCAGTGGGTCTGTAAAAGACCCAAGTGCAATGTAATGAAGCTCTGCTTTCCCTTACTGAATTAACACCCGCTGCTGGGGGATTAAAATCAAACTCGTCCTGTAATACATTGGATCACTGGAGTGTCCGAGCACCTGACCTCAGGTCATCAGAGATTGCTCTGACTAGGAGATACAGGATGGACTCTAATGCTTGGTTGGTATCTTCTCTGTCTGCAGTTCTCACAGCTCTTTTGCAGAGGAGATATGATATAGCTTCCTGTTAGTGTCACAGTTACCCCAGCAGGATATTATGTTATGGGGAGAGGTGCTAAGGAGAGGGTTAATGGTGCGTCCAACACAGTCCTATTAGCCTGGGGTTCAGTGTACACGTATGCAAGCTGACTGAACTGAGTGAGGTGGCAGAGATGTAATTGGAAGCAGAACTGGGCATAGTATGTGCTGGTAGCTCTTCATTGTACCTATAGGAATCCACAATAGTTTGGTCTGGGTACAGAAGCACAGTTGGATGGACTTCCAGGCTTGGTGTTCTGTGAGGTTTCTATCCAAGCCCATTTTTGTTTTTAAAAAATGAAGAGGTGGCTATCAGAAGAGAGTGGCAGTTATATCAGACTATTGTGAAGAATCGTGTTAGGCAGGTGGCAAAGTCCATCCCTCTTCACACGAGGCGAGAGATGATATCCTCACCACCAAGCATTGCTGCTCAGGTACCGTGGAGATGCTACAAGTACCTAGCTATATTTCCACCCTTTAATCGTAGCCGTGGGATACTACGGATGATAGCAAAATCTATAACCCAGTGGTTCTCAGCCTATTTACCATTGTGGGCTGCATATGCAGCTTTCTATGTGTTACGTGGGCCGCATCCACACAATATATATACTACCTGTATGGCCCTGAGGATATCACATAGGCTGCAGCTATGTGCTGATGGGGCCATAAGCAGCTTGTGGGCTGCAGGTTGAGAATGGCTGCTCTAACCGCTAACGGAGAAGGAATTAACAGCCTGCTGCATCCACTGCTTAAGGGAATTGGGACGCTTTCCATTGGTTTTAATTGAAGTTGGATCGGGCCCAAACTGAACGAGTAAAGGAAATTCAGAGGGAAGCAGGCAGCTGTTTGCTTCACCGTGAGGTGCAAGTGTTTCAGGACTCATTGCTCGGCTTCTGTATAGTCCTGGGAAGGCTCCCATGTTTCAGGAAACCCATAAGTGTTGGGTGGTGCTATAAATTCAGCCCTTTCCTACCAGCAGTATCCGCCATGGCAGGAGTCCATTCTCTCTGAATAGGTAGAGGCCAGTCTTTCCAGAACATTGGGATAATGTTTCTTTGGCAGTCTTTAAGCAAGTCTTAATCCATTTTATCTCCCCTTTTAAAAGTAAACAGGATAACTGAGCTGGGAAACCAAGCACACAAAAGCGAGGATACATGGCTGCCAGTGTGTCCTTGGGATGCAGCTCATTTACCATGTGCCTGTCTGCAAAGTCAAACCATACGGATGGGAGGTTTGGGGTGTCTTGTGTAACAACGATGTGAGGCATGTCTTGCAACTGGGTTCACATGGGCGGACTCCTCAGCAGATTTCGTTCTCTCCCTTCCCCATCTCCCCTAGGCTCCTCATCTGCCCCCACCCCCAGGCTCCTTGTCCCAATCTACTCTTTCCACCCCACCCGGCTTTTGTTCTCTCTGCATTTAGGTCAGGCATCTTCCTCCTCTATGCTGCCTCAGAGCCAGCAGGAGGAACATTTAGCGCAGGGGTCTCAAACTCAAATGACCACGAGGGCCACATGAGGACTAGTACATTGACCCAAGGGCCGCATCACTGACACCCACCCTGCCGCCCTGGCCCCGCGCCCCCCCTCCACCCCTTCCATGAGGCCCTGCCCCTGCCCGCCTCTTCCCACCCTTCCCTGCCCCCATTCCAACCCCTTCCCCAAAATCTCCACCCCAACTCCGCCCCCTTCCTGCCCTCAGGGGGTGCAGGAGGGATGTGGGGTGTGGTGGGGGCACAGGGCAGGGAGTTGAGCTGCAGGAGGTGTGCAGGGAGCTCAGGGCAGGGAGTTGGGGTGTGGGGTGCAGGAGGGGTGAGGGGTGCAGCAGGGGGTCAGGGTGTGGCAGGGGGTTGGGCCGCAGGAGGGGTTCAGGGTGTGGCAGGGGGCTCAGGGCAAGGGGTTGGGGTGCAGGAGGGGTGCGGGGTGCAGCAAGGGGCTCAGGACAGGGGGTTAGGCTGCAGGAGGGGATCGGGGGCGGGCTCTGGCCCAGCACGCACCAGGGGCAGGGCAGGCTCCCTGCCTGCCCTGCCCTGCCCCCGCACCACTCCAGGAAGCAGCCGGAACCTGGGGGAGGGGGGGCACAGGGGTCTGTGTGTTGCCCTTGCTTCCAAGCACTGCCCCCCACAGCTCCCATTGGCTGGGAACGGGAACCGCGGCCAACGGGAGCTTCGGGGGTGGTACCTGGAGGAGTGGCCAGGGAACACACAGACCCCTGTGGCCCTCCTCCCCCAGGTTCTGGACGGTTCCCGGAGAGGCGCGGGGGCAGGGCAGGCAGGGAGCCTGCCCTGTCCCCGGTGTGCGCCAGGCTGGAGCCGCTGTAGGTAAACACTGGCGGAGGGGCTGCGGGGAGCTGGCGGGCCGCAGAAAATAACCCCGTGGGCCGTGTTTTTGAGACCCCTGATCTAGCACATAGAAGAGACAGTTTCCCTGCTTTCAGTTTTGGTGCCTGGCACCACAGATGAGGCTAGGCAGCAATTGCAGGGAAAGACCTGCTCAATCCCTGAAGCCCTGGGTTTGAGCGTGCTTACTGCAGGCAGCATCTTCAGAGAATGTAGTCGCCAAACTCTGACAAGTCTCTACTGAGCACATGGAAACAGTGATTTTTTCAAAGGCTTATAACTTGACCAAATTTGGGTGGATTATCACAGGAATAGCAAAGGGCAAATCCGTGACACCAAGGCAGTGCCCTTGCCAAATGTCAAGCCCATGCTGCAAAGCAGGAAGGTGTTAGAGCTTTTCAGTGAAACAGCTGGATGAATGATTTTAACACAGGCAAAACAATTTTTCCTTAATCTCATTCTCAGAAATGGCTGAACCATTTTTGCTGAAGCTTTCCAAAAAAGTTCAGTCTGAGGTAGACACTCAGCATAGACAATTTCAGCCCAACTGATTAGAGCTTGGCAAAGTTATAAACAATGGAAAATGGGGGCTTATGATGGCAAGTGTGCAGACATCTGAAACGGTAGATGGCGCTGCCAGCTCCACCTGTAACCATAAGTAATCATTTATTTAAAAAAAAAAAAAAGCCTAATAAGTCTCACATAGATGCAGTCAATGCAGTTGGCAGTCTAGTTGAACTGAAAAGAATTGATATGGTTTTCTTTCCCAAGGTGGGCTGGTCAACTATGAAAATTGTTCGATGGTAAAACTGAGATCTTCCTTCCTCTGTTCCTGCTTGGGAACTTCAAGCCAACTGAAGTGATATCTGTACATTGAAAGAATAATGGGTTTATTTCCAGCCTTGCAAATATTATCAACTCAGAGAACTTCTTGCCAACTGGAAATCAGTAAGGGATGCCACGGCTAGGCAGACAGTGTGCTTG